CCCACCCACCTTTCAGCCACCTGTTTGAGCAAGATTGAGCATCAGCAGTTGTCTGGCAACAGTCCCATCTCTGGCTTCCATTGGCTGGCAGAGGGGCAGCCCGGGTGACATCCTCACTAGTCGGTAGCAGTTTGGCTCTGTTTGCCTAGCTTTCTATACTGATTGGCCTGATGGCCACACACACCCCCGGCTCTCATCAGCTCTTATTTGGCCATGGAACAATGGTGCCCTATTTAAATATCACAAGCCCAGGGCCCTCTCTGGAAGACAAGGGGAAGTTAAGTATATATTTCATGAAATAAGGGGATCTTGCCTTTGAGTGCAAGGTCCACTTTATGCTTCATAGCAATCCTACATTAATCTCAAATATCTAATATTTTGCACAGAGGTGATTATTCATGGCCAGTTATTATAAGTTTAGGTTTACAGCTTCAGAGAGGAAATTAAACGTTTGAAGAAGAGGTGATAAAACATGGTCAAACGTGGCTGGTGATAAGTTTTAGCTTATATAGATATTTACTGATTAAGACTCAGGATCATTATCAGAATAAATTACACAGATTGTACATAAGGTGCCTTGTCTCTCACTAACTGAAAAGAGTCATAGGGATCATAGAGGTCATAAGGAGTGGGGCAGTCACTCCACTGACTCATTCAGCTATGCATGTAGTCTGAACATCAGCTATCCAGATTTACCTACAACAGGCTTTTTATTTTGGCAAAGCGGTCGCTTTCCAAATCAGAGCAAACTGATAAGGTCTCTTTAAAGCTGGCCATACACCTATAGATTATCTGCAGATTTTCTATGGTCTGATGGAAAAAGTGTAACAGATTTCCCCATCTACGCTAAGCTGTGTGGATGGAGGAATCTTCCACTGGGCCAAGCTTCAGTATCTTGCTATTCGGCCCCGCTGGCTGTCAAAATGCCTGAACAATCTGATTGGATGCAGGCATTGCTCAGGTATTTTGAGAGCCAGCGGGGCCGACTAGCAACATACTGAAGCTTGGCCCAGTGGAAGATTCCTCCATCCACACAGTTTAGCGTAGATGGAGGAATCTGTTGCACTTTTTCCATCGGACTATAGAAAATCTGCAGATAATCTATAGGTGTATGGCCAGCTTTAAGCCCACCTCCCTTCCCTATTATACCTTTCCCATGATCCTTCACTGCTCTGTGCCTCTGCACCTGGGTGTACACACGTTTGTACCAACAAGTTTCCTTCGAGACTCGCCCAGTACCTCTTCTATGAGTGAATTCAGTTGATCCACCACAGCAGTCTAAGCCCACCACTGACCAATCTTGTTGGCACCCTTCCTTGTGCCTGTGGAGTTTTCAGCACCCTGTTAGATACCAACCGATGGACCCAATAGTAGGCATCCACCTTTCCACTCTGCTGTCCACAAGTTAAAGTGGTGTAGGTCAAGAATAAGCTTTATTTGTGTTCAATGAGATGCGCCAATGAGTTTCAGGGGTTAAAGGGAATTGCCTTCATAAGAGCTAAAAAAAACATACATTAAAATATATAATCAATTCTAGTTTGTGAGAAGGATGTAAATAAAGTATTAAATGTATTTTTATGAATATTACTAAACAATACTGTATATAACAGAGTTTGCCACATAAGGGGATATTCACAAAGCAGTGAATCCGACAAGAAATAAAAAAAACTCAGGACCAGGCATGTCAACCAGACCATAGATTCATGAGTTTCAGCATTTGTTTTTTAATCTACTGAGTCAAGTAGCAAGAGGGAGATGGACGGTAAAGTTTAGAGGGGGAATGTCAATTGTGTTTCAGGTTTTATAACCGTGCACTCAGCATCTACTCCGATAGCACTTCATTGTAGAAACATACTGCACACAAAATACAACTTTTGATGTGTTTCTGCTTGAACGGCCTTAGTGATGAGCTGAGACAAAGAATGTTTAAGCAGAAACGTGTCAGCAATTGTATTTTTTTGCAGGAAGTTCCTACAATAATGTGCTATCAGAGGAAATGTTCAGTGCCAGTAATTGTATTTGCTCATGCTATTTAGTCCAGACAGGAGGGACGTTCGACATGCTCCACCAAAGCAGTGTGGGGCTTATTGAGAATTTGAGCTGTGTATGTCTAGTCATTGCATGGGTTTTAATCCCATTAATTCCAAAGGTGTTCAGTAGGGTTGAAGTCAGGGATCTGTGCAGGTCACAGCACTTTTTCCATCGGACTATAGAAAATCTGCAGATAATCTATAGGTGTATGGCCAGCTTTAAGCCCACCTCCCTTCCCTATTATACCTTTCCCATGATCCTTCACTGCTCTGTGCCTCTGCACCTGGGTGTACACACGTTTGTACCAACAAGTTTCCTTCGAGACTCGCCCAGTACCTCTTCTATGAGTGAATTCAGTTGATCCACCACAGCAGTCTAAGCCCACCACTGACCAATCTTGTTGGCACCCTTCCTTGTGCCTGTGGAGTTTTCAGCACCCTGTTAGATACCAACCGATGGACCCAATAGTAGGCATCCACCTTTCCACTCTGCTGTCCACAAGTTAAAGTGGTGTAGGTCAAGAATAAGCTTTATTTGTGTTCAATGAGATGCGCCAATGAGTTTCAGGGGTTAAAGGGAATTGCCTTCATAAGAGCTAAAAAAAACATACATTAAAATATATAATCAATTCTAGTTTGTGAGAAGGATGTAAATAAAGTATTAAATGTATTTTTATGAATATTACTAAACAATACTGTATATAACAGAGTTTGCCACATAAGGGGATATTCACAAAGCAGTGAATCCGACAAGAAATAAAAAAAACTCAGGACCAGGCATGTCAACCAGACCATAGATTCATGAGTTTCAGCATTTGTTTTTTAATCTACTGAGTCAAGTAGCAAGAGGGAGATGGACGGTAAAGTTTAGAGGGGGAATGTCAATTGTGTTTCAGGTTTTATAACCGTGCACTCAGCATCTACTCCGATAGCACTTCATTGTAGAAACATACTGCACACAAAATACAACTTTTGATGTGTTTCTGCTTGAACGGCCTTAGTGATGAGCTGAGACAAAGAATGTTTAAGCAGAAACGTGTCAGCAATTGTATTTTTTTGCAGGAAGTTCCTACAATAATGTGCTATCAGAGGAAATGTTCAGTGCCAGTAATTGTATTTGCTCATGCTATTTAGTCCAGACAGGAGGGACGTTCGACATGCTCCACCAAAGCAGTGTGGGGCTTATTGAGAATTTGAGCTGTGTATGTCTAGTCATTGCATGGGTTTTAATCCCATTAATTCCAAAGGTGTTCAGTAGGGTTGAAGTCAGGGATCTGTGCAGGTCACTTGAGTTTCTCCCCACCAAACTCATCAAACCAAGTCTGTATGGAGCTGGCTTTGTTCACAGGGGCACAGTCGCGATGGAACAGAAAAGGGCCTTATACAAACTGTTGCCAGAAGGTTGGAAGCATACAATTATCTAACATGCCTTTGAGCTTGTGTTGATGGTACATGATGGGTTCACCCACATACTGGGCTGGGAGAGGAAAAGACCAGGGTCATCCCTCTAATGGTGTTGCCTCAGGCGGCATCTCATTGGGTCACATGGGGAAAGAGTTCTTAACAACCTGTGATCCTGTGGCCTGTGTCACACCCAGCTCACTGACATCACTGGTTGCCCGAAGCTGAGTGGGATGCTCTGACTGGTGTCCCGCCCAGCTCACTGAGGTCACTGGTTGTCAGGAGCTGGGCGGGATGCCTGGACAGACGAACAGAGCCGGACCCAGAGGTAGCAGCATCCACAACATCACCCCCACACACACCGTAATGTTCATCATCAGCATTTCCCCCACACCAGTAATGTTTATAACCAGTCCCCCTTCCCCCTCAAACCCCCCTTCCCAACCTCAGGCGGTGAATACTGTAGGGACACCCCTGGAGAAGACCATAGTGCTGACTGCACCATGTTGTAAGGTAAGTATTTGTCTCTTTTAAAACCCCTAACTAAGCAAGCATGATCTTATGTATATACAGGGGGTGGGGCTATCAATATTTTTGGTTCACACCCAGAGTATGACTTTATTGCATACCTCCCCTTTGAACAGTAAGTCTAAACTGTCTTCAAGGCTTACGGCCACTGAAGAATCTTCACCATCCCATCCACTGTTGGAAGCCTAATCCCCTACTACACATTGTGGTTCTATCCGCCTGCCCCTACATCCCTACCATGTCCTGTAATCACATAAGGGTCAGCCGAAGTAACCATTGAACACAGCAAGGGGGGACACACAGGAGGTGCCAGTAGTCTTGGTTTCTTTAGTGTTGTTCAGTGTTATGGCCACTAGAACATTTTTTCGTTGTAGGGACATTTGGTATTAGAAGTTTATTTTTTGTGACAGATTATTTTAAAGCTGAAAGGGAATCCAAGGGGCAGGTAATGAAGGAACACCTCTCCAGCGGGAGCACAGCCAGCAATAAAAACCTAGCAGAGACTCTAACTTTTTACCCAATTTATTTAACAAAATGAAAACCAAAGTTTGGAGTTGAGATATAAGTTTTTGGCACCTAAAGCAATCTATGTTCATGTGATATGAACTTATCTTCTTCAGCAGTTGGCAGTATCTTAAAACATAATCAGAACTTGGTTCTTTATCTAGACATGTCCTTGACTGATGATACTGCTTTACTGATATGATCAAGAACAGTCAACTCCTGGGTATAAAGGGTTTGATGAAAAATAATATTGGCACCAACAACCAAATGATATATCTTCTGTATCTGTTTAAAGACTTCCACTTCACGGCATTCGGGATTGCCGGTTGGCATGGGAGGACGGAGAAAGAGTCACATATTCCTCAGTCCCAAGTGTGCTATGTGTTTCCCTTTGCTGTTGCTGCATGGGCAAAGCACAGGTTTACTATATCCCTACACCACCTCTTAGCCTCATCTACTTCCTAATCCTAAACCACAAGGTGATAAAAAAAATTGTCACCAATGCATTTATTACATAAAATGTATATTACATAAAATTTATATTAGCCCAGCGATACTGGAAATTATATTATTGAACTGCCGCATGCACTTTCCAAACTCTTTCTGAAATTCAGGCGTGATGAACAAGTAAAACACTGGGCTGATGCTGCTGAACACACAAGCACTGACAATTCTCAGTGCACGAAGGACCCCGTCATTAAGCTGGCCTCTTTCCATGCTCATTGCATCAGCAATGTGGTGTATGGTCCAGCAAGCATAGAAAAATGTTGTAAAGAGGTAGATGACCTTGTAAGGTTTGGTGGAGCTTCCTCTTTGGACCCTCTTTATCTTGATGAGGATTTTGAAGTGACAAATTGTAGTGACGGCAGCAGGAAGCAGAAAGCTCACAAGGATTCTAAAGAAGAAAATCCCCCATTTGACTTGGCCTCCTGCATTTTCCCACTTACCCGAGAGGGAATAGTCATTGTAGCAGACTGTGATGTTGTCCTTCAGTTTAGCTACACGAACTAGAAGGTATGGAGAGCTACAGAGGAAGGCCAGACCCCACAAGCCAAAACAAACAGCAGAAATGTGGTAAAGTCTGACACGTCTTATGTACCAATGAGGATAGTAGACCAGCAAATAACGATTAAGACTGATGGAAGTGATAAGGAAAACTGATGCATAAAGGCAAACTGATAGCAAAAAGTAAAGAGCTTTACACAGGAACATTCCGAAGAGCCAGTGAGGTTCCATGAGGACATAAACTGATAAGAAAGGCAGCAGGAGAATAAAAAACAGGTTACTGATGATCAGGTGAAAAAGCCAAGCAGTGTTTATGTTTTGCTTCATCCGGAATGTTGTGACCCATAAATAAAGAGCGTTCACCAGCAATCCAATGATAAAGTAGATGAGTAAGAAGGAGGCGAATATTAATTTTGGTGTCGTGATCAATGAAGATGAAGGTCCAGCGGATACTTTGAAATGAAGGCTCATTCTGGTTGTATTAATCATGGTACACCTTTTTAAAAAAAAAAAGACAAATTATGTGAAATCTGTTCCTTCCAGGAGCCAAAGATGTGCGTACTGATGGTGTAAAAATCCGACCACATTTTAGGTCGCTTTGCCAACCATCTCGTTCTGTCGTCATTACTGTTAACACACACATGGGTTACACATGGGTTACACAGAGAATGAATGGAGCATCCGAGTGCATGCGATGGACATGCGTTTGGCCTGACCATTGCATTCCTATGATGTCACTGTAGGAAAATCAGCCCCTTTGAGTCACTAACACAGAACAAGTATACTGAAAACGACATCTGACTTTTTGCTTAGTTTTTTTTATATGCATGCTTGCATCGGGCCAACAGCTCAGAAAATCCCTAAGCAATGGCCGACCTGTTGAAAAGGCTTAATTACATTTCAGAAAGCTGCCTTGAAATTTCCCTATGTGCATGAAGCAAAGGGTACCTGTTACGCGCGTTTCAAGCTTCTGGGGAACCTGTACGGAGAATCTTCTACCACCAACCAACTCTTGCTTGACTGCCGTACATACCAAGTGGCTAGACAAATCATAAAACAGAGAACTTCCCCTTTTACATTTCCATACAGGAAATACAAAACCTTTTTCTGACGTTTTTCACCAATAATCTATTTCTGTGTGTTTTCTAATTATTTTTTTATTTTTTACACCCCCCCACTCTTCAACACCATCACCACCTCTTCACTTAAAAGAAACCAATGCTTAAACTAAACCTGTGGCCAGGACGGAAACCACTCACTGTTCCGAACTGTTCTGTTTGTTTGTTTGACAGAGAGCTGGTTTCTCACAATGGACAGTGCCTTCTAAACAGACCAAACTGTTTTTTTTTACAATGGTTTGACTGTCCTGTATTGTTTCCCCATTGTTCGTATCACAATGGGGAAGCCTTGTGTAAACAATCACACCGAGATTGGTCAAGACTTAATCAACCATTGACTACTGATGGCAATTCATGATACCACGCTACCACCTAGAGGTGGGAAAGTGAAATACATCATATTTTGCTCTCATACAAGTTTTGGAGGGGAAACACCCACAAGTGGGAGGATATTTTCTCTGAATAAAAGCCAGCAGCCCAAAGGAACAGCAGGACTTCAAGACCAGGACTTCACAAAAGGGGGACTTTACGAGAGGGCTTCAAGACCAGGACATAACTCTGACCAAGGGAGGACTGAACTCTAATACAAAGGACTTAGCAGAGACTGCAACGAGAAGCCATTTTCCTGCGAACGCCTAAGTGCCAAGAAGTCCTGCTCATTACGGAATTTATGGAATCTGCAGCTTACAGCTAACTACTATTCTAGTGTTTCCTCTCTTACAAAGCATTACATGTACTAGAATAGTGTACATACTAGATAGTGTAGTGGGTGCATGTGATTGTTTGTAGCAGCCTGTATGTATGTCTTGTTTATGTCTGTTTTTTCCTCTAACTAAGTTTGTACACGCAGCATTTTCCCCAAGTAAAGTACTTTAAATGCTACTGGGTCAGTTTCCTTGAGCTTTACTGCAAGAACAGACAACAAAATCGAAATTAAAGTTTTGCCAAGCTTCACATCTGGGCTCATCCTTGGGATAAGCTTTACATCTCTGGGATTTGTAGTCCAGAGCATAACAGGGATGAGTGAAAAAGCTGGCTAATTTAAATTCAAAGATTCCCATGTAAAAACAAATACAGTATGAAAAACTACACATGTATACATTTATTTATTATTTTATTATTACAAATGTATTATTTATTTAAATTTTTTTTTAGAATTTTCTCAGACCACTGGAATAAAATAACAAAATAAAAATTAGGATGCTGAAATAGTAAATGAACGCATAATCTTTTTGAACTCTTTGGTAAGATTGTCCACAATGAGCAAGTAACATATCTGGCTAAGGCAGCTGAAGCCACACGTGCTGACAATTTTCAGCGTGAGAAGAATTTCATCCTTAAATCTGCCTCTTTCCAGACTCATCCCATAGGCTATATGGTACAGGGCACAACAGATGAAGAAAGTTGCCGTAGCCAGGAAGATGACCTTGTAAGGTTTGGTGGAGCTTCTCCTTTGGCCCTTCTTTATCTTGATGAGGATTTTGAAGTGACAGATCGTGATGACGGCAGCCGGAAGCAGAAAGCTCACAAAAATTCTAAAGAAGAACATCCCCCATTTGACTTGGTCTTCTGCATCTTCCCACTGACCCGAGAGGGAATAGTCATTGTAGCAGACGGTGATGTTGTCTGTCTGTTCAGTGACACGAAATAGAAGATACGGAAAGCTACAGAGGAAGGCCAGACCCCACAAGCCATAACAAACAGCAGAAACGTTGTGAAGTCTTATGTGTCCTATGTACCAGTGCGGGTAGTAGACCAGTAAATAACGATTAAGACTGACTGCGGTCATCAGGAAAACCGAAGCAAAAAGGCAAATGGACATCATGCAGTGAAAGACTTTACACAAGAACATTCCGAAGATCCAATGAGGTGCCATCAGGACATAGACCGCCAAGAAAGGCTGCAGAAGAAGAAACACCAGATTGGTAAAAACGAGGTGAGAAAGCCAAACATTGTTTATGCCCCGTTTCATCCTGAATTTCAGGACCCATAAATAAAGAGCGTTCACCGCCAATCCAAAGAGAAAGTTGATGAGCAAGAGAAGGGCGCCTGTTAATTTTGAAGCTGTGATCTCGAAGGGCGAGGGTCCCGTTGATGTGTTGACGATACTGTTCAGACTGGATGTGTTAACCATGGTACACTGTACAAAATAAAAAAACAGAATATCGAAGTATTACAAATATTCCATATACACTATATTGCCAAAAGTATTTGGACACCCCTCCAAATCATTGGATTTAGGTGTTCCGTGACATTTCCTTGCTACTAAATATTCCATGGTCACCTGTTAGTGGTATTATAACAAAGTGGAAGCAACTGGGAACAACAGCAATTCAGCCACAAAGTGGTAGGCCAAACCCAGACACGTCCATTGGATTGCCAGAGAAGCGTGATTCGTCACTTCAGAAAACACTTCTCTAGAGTCCAGTGGCAGCGTGCTTTACACCACGGCATCCCACGCTTTGCATTGCACTTGGTGATGTAAGGCTTGGATGCAGCTGCTCGGCCATGAAAACCCATTCCATGAATCTCTCTACGCACTGTTGTTGTGTCAATCTGAAGGCCACACGAAGTTTGGAGGTCTGTAGCTATTGACTCTGCAGACAGTCGGCGACTTCTGCGCACTGTGCGCTTCAGCATGCGCTGACCCCGCTCTGCCATTTTACGTGGCCTACCACTTCCTGGCTGAGTGCTGTTGTTCCCAGTTGCTTCCACTTTGTTATAATACCACTAACAGGTGACCGTGGAATATTTAGTAGCCAGGAAATGTCACGGAACACCTGAATCTAATGATTTGGAGGGGTGTCCCAATACTTCTGGCAATATAGTGTACATGTGATTTTAACCCTTCAAAAGAAGTTTTATCTACACTTTTTAAAAGCACTGCTCTGCCTAAAACATAAGACTTTGTAAATAAGTATATCCACAGTTATGGGAAAAACACCAGCACTGCTATCATTTGTTAAATTATTGCACAGAAACGTACCTCGAAAAGAGGATTCAACTGAAGCAAAGTCTGCCGGTGTCCGATCCCCGGTTCATTGTGTGCACGTTCCACCTGCCTGATCTTATGTTCCCCTTGCACCGTGATGAGTCTGCCGCAGCCTCCCAGTTCCCTCTGTCTCATGCTGCTGCCTCCCAGTTCCCTCTGTCTCATGCTGCAGCCTCCCAGTTCCCTCTGTCTCATGCTGCAGCCTCCCAGTTCCCTCTCTCTCATGCTGCAGCCTCCCAGTTCCCTCTCTCTCACGGTGCTGCTGTCGGCTCTCTCCCCTCCTGCTCTTGCTGCTGGGATGGGGACGAAACGGAGTCCCAGTAGGGAGATGTGAAGGGTGAAGTGCTGGCAGGGGGGGCGCTCTTACCCTGCAGATGTGCATTTCTCCGTGCCACCCCCCACTCTGCGTGCAATCCCTGCTAACCCCTTTTGTACACTAAGCCCTGGTTCACACCTAGGCGGCACCGTTTTTGTGCGTTTATACTAGGGATGCACCGATACCGGTATTTTGGTACCGAGTACCAGTACCGATAATTTATTTCTGTACTCGCCGATACCAATTACCGAATAACGGAAGTCCCATTCAGGAAGCCAGGTGGCGTGTAATGACTCGCCACCTGGCTTCCTGATTAACAAGAAAGTCCCCTCTTACCTTAGTATGTGCAGCCTGTCACCCCCGTGGCCTCTCCAGCCAGAACGCGGCCTTCCTCCTGTACCCAGGCGGAGCCGTCTGGTCGACAAAAAAATTGGGAGAAATGTCCTCTAATGCAGCGCTGCCCCTGAGGTGAGGGTAAACAAATGTCGGTTGCGGTACTAGGTGTGCGGCTCCTAAAATTGCGGACCGGGGTGTCCAACGTTTTACTGATAGAGAAGACAAGAAATACAGAAGCGCACTACCAAGTGGTGACTGAGCAAGAAAAAATAATAAGGGAATAATGGAATGAGGCTTAGCAGGGTGTGGGTACTAGCGCGTTGTCAGCGACGAAGTGTGGATGAATTGGGAGTCCAGGGTTGCTGGTGGTGGTGGGCAGGGTAATGTGGCAATAGTTGGTGCTGGGAAGAATACGATGTCAAAGGGGATCTGGGTCAGACGTTTAGTGTGGCAGGGATCTGAGGGGGGGCCGGCTCGGGTTTGGGAGAAGGACTGGCTGTCTGAAACGTGCTGGCTGCTAACGGATGTGTGCCTGAGAACTGTGTGTGTGTGTGTGTGGGGGACAACCCTGGACTCCCAATTCATCCACACTTCGTCGCTGACAACGCGCTAGTACCCACACCCTGGTAAGTCTCATTCCATTATTCCCTTATTATTTTTTCTTGCTCAGTCACCACTTGGTAGTGCGCTTCTGTATTTCTTGTCTTCTCTATCAGGAGCCGTCTGATCGGCCAATCAGGAAGCCGGGCGCCATGTAATGACGCAACACCCTGCTTTCTGATTGGCCCGGGAGGCCGGCTCCATGCTCCCTCATCATGTGATGACGAGGGAGCATGAAACCAGCTTCCCGGCCAATCAGAATGCCGGGCGCTGCATCATTACACGCTGCCTGGCTTCCTGATTGGCCGGGAAGTCGGCTCATCACAAGTGACAAAAGAGCATGGAGCCACTTCCCGTGTAATAGTAGAAAGGCATCATGGCACACTCACAAACTAGCATGTAAAACAACTTGTCTCACCACGAAGGACAATGACAGAGGTTTGGATACACGTCTTCTGCAAAGGATGTGTAAGCCGCACTGCCGCGCCAAGGCACCTCTTATAGTGCGGTCCTAACTCTAAACTATGAGAGTCTCCATCTTGGAGCACATGGGGGCAGAAGATATCAAATTGGGTGCAGGCCTGTCAGGAGGACGCCCCACCTCCTTAAAGGTACAGAAACACACAAGAAACCCTCAGCTGCCAATGGGATGTGCGGGATCCCTTGTGTGTTTCTGTACCTTTAAGGAGGCGGGGCGTCCTCCTGACAGGCCTGCACCCAATTTGATATCTTCTGCCCCCATGTGCTCCAAGATGGAGACTCTCATAGTTTAGAGTTAGGACCGCACTATAAGAGGTGCCTTGGCGCGGCAGTGCGGCTTACACATCCTCTGCAGAAGACGTGTATCCAAACCTCTGTCATTATCCTTAGTGGTGAGACAAGTTGTTTTACATGCTGGTTTGTGAGTGTGCCATGATGCCTTTCTACTGTTCTACTGTTTAAAGCCCATTTCGTGTGCACCTTACTGTATAACTGGTAACAAATTGTTGAGTGCGTCTGTCGTTTGTTTTACTTCCCGTGTACTGACGCGCTGCCCGGCTTCCTGATACAGGAAGTACTCGTGCTAGGCATCGGAGCATTTGGGCGAGTACGAGTCCTCGCCCAAATACTCGGTATCGGCACCGATATCGATACTAGTATCGGGGCATCCCTAGTGTATACGCATGTTAGCGTCATGCGGTTATTCGCGCGTTGTGCACATTTGCATGCACGTTCATGAAGATGCACGTTTTGATTGGCAGCGGTAAACCAGCGGTTCTCAACTTGTGGGTCGGGACCCCCCCGGGGGTCGAATGACAATTTGCCAGGGGTCGCCGGGAGTCAGTGGCAGAACAACGGGGGGCCGCCGGGTAGCGATAAGCGGGCTGGCCGGGAGGAGCACAATATTGAAACAGGCAGACCCGGCGGTAATCATGTATTTGAGTGGACCGGGCTTCGGGCTTTTGCTGTAATGATCTCAGCTCCGCCCCCTGTGCTGACTTCAGTGCCGCTCATCCCACACTGTGTCTCCAGCTGTCCCCCGCCATGTGCCTTCTCTGGAGCCTCACACTACTTCCTCAGGGCCACTTTCTGCACTGTGGGAGGAGCCGTTCTCTCCTCTCTCCTCACTGCCTCCTGGTCCCGAGCTGCGTGTGTGTGTGTGTGTGTGTGCGTGTGCGCGTGTGCGTGTGCGTGTGCGTGTGTGTGTGTGTGTGTCCCTGTGAGCTTGACCAAGTCCTAGTGCCCAATTCCTATGTTTCCTGTGCAGTGTGTGACGTGTTGTATGTCACTGATAGATATACTGTATATTGTATATAATAATCCAAGTCAATAAAAGAGAGAGAACTTTCCTGTGGAAGGTCTCTACACTGTCGGTACACAATTTGCAGGCATCACCGCCCTCCCCAATGGTGGATTTCCAGCACCTAATCCTGTCCACATACATTTTATTTAGGAATAATAACACTTTGATATGGAGGGGAAGTGTACAAGGACAATGAGGGCATGGTCGGACCTGTAGTTCCCAGGGTAATATGTGGTGTACAGGGATAATGAGGGCATGATGGGACTTGTAGTTGTACAGCCTCCGCATATCAACTAGGGAACTACAAGTCCCATCATTCAGTGGCGTCACAAGGGGGTGCAGCCCGCACCCAGATGCCACCAGTGGAGGCGGTGACACCAATATGACTGACAGTCATTTTGGTGTCACCCCCTCTAATAATAAATAATAAAAATAATAGTATTTTTTCTCTAAAAGAAAACATAAACCTTTTACTATCATTATTACGAATAATAAAAGCTGACACCCTCGGCTTGTGTTATATGGTTTGCCATTTTAGCTGTTACAACAGTGGTTCTCAACCTGTGGGGTCGCTGGGTGATTTCTGCTGTGCTCGGTGAGAGTCCTCCTCAGCCCTCTCCTAGCGCAGCAGTGTCAGTTCTCCCGCCACGCCGCCAGATGTCGCTGCAGCAGCCGCATCATCCCTAAATTTTACCGTTGGGGGTCACCACAACTTGGCAAATGTTACCAAGGGGTCCCGGCCCTAGAAAGGTTGAGAACCACTGCCTTAAACCATTGTGGGCAATGGAAGAACGTGCGTATAAACGCGCAAAAACGCTCACAAAAATGTGCAACATGCTTCTGTTGAGCGCTCTGCCCATTCCCAATGAAGTCTACGGGGAGGAAAAGTAAGCTCCTGTATCCCCTGCCAGGCATTTTTCTGCTCAGGTGTGAACCGGGGCCATTGATCATCATGGGATTTGTTGTGTTGAGCAGTTAAAAGCGCTTTTTGAACTGCTCAAAAAGGCCTAGGTGTGAACCAGGGCTAAGTTAGGCGGCTGCGAGGCCCTCACGAGCGCGAGGTCTTAGGGAGCCGCCTCTGTGCCCAGCTATCCCAGGAGGAAGAGTTAGGACCCAGTGACATCACCTGTGCCTGCAGGAGGCCAGGACCAGGGTATTTTTTTGTATCTTATTTATATTATGTTTAATGCGAATTCTGTTTGGACGGCGGGGGGACTGGCGAGGAAGCAGACCTTCCGTTTTTTTCCATAAAAGTTCCGCTTTGATTTAGCAAACCGCGCAATGTACATTTTGAAAAGAAAAACAATTTAATTTGCTGCTTTATTACGCCCAGAATAAAATAACTTCCCATTTATTAAACTTTTTTTTTTTTTAACGTGTCACCTGAGCAGAATTGAAAGTACGCTCGTCAAGCGCAGACAGCGAAGTGGCTATTTTGTGGTGGACCAGTTGTTTACACATGCGGCGCCTCAGACATTTAGAAAGGAGATCTTGGTAGCCTATGGGCCATTTTTTTGGGTGGAAACGTTGTTCAAGGCCAGAAGCAGCTGTGGTTTGGATGTGACTGGCAATGAAATGCCCAGTATCGGCACCAGTGGATCCCTAGTAAGTATACCTGGTGGGGGCATCCTTGGTGGGGATTTTTGACAAACACACCATCACTTTGCTTTCAATCAGGGGTAGGTGACCTCAGCACTCTAGATTTTGTGGAACTACAAATCCTATATTGCCTTGCCACAGGCATGACTCACAGAGCCATAATGGGAGTTGTACTTTCACCACAGCTGAGGTTGCCTACTCCTACCTAAATGAACAAGGTAACAGTCCCCCATAATGTCTTCTAGGTAATGGGTGTACATAAATGCAGATCTCTAAAGTACTTCCACATGGCAGGAGGTAAGGCCTTCCCCAAAATAGACATTTTCACAAGTACTCGTACTTGCCCGGATACTTGAGACAATACCAGCGCTTTCAATTTAATGGCTGCTGTATGGTCCCGCGCTTGCAAGAGGCAGCCAGTCGGGTACCATGCAGCGGCTGTTTACAGTTTCGGCCACAGTCATGATGATTCCCACACAGCCCTGGTGAGACTGCACGCAACCCTGATGAGGCCGAACACATCCCTGGTGAGACCGCACGCAACCCTGATAAGGCCGAACACATCCCTGGTGAGACCGCACGCAACCCTGGTGAGGCCGAACGCATCCCTGGTGGAACCGCACGCAACCCTGATTGGGCCGAACGCATCCCCGGTGAGACCGCACGCAACCCTGATGAGGCCGAACACATGCCTGGTGAGACCGCACGCAACTCTTAGACCGCACAGTCCTGGTGAGTCCAGCACGCAGCCCTGATGAGGCTGAACACATCCCTGGTGAGACCGCACGCAACCCTGATGAGGCCGAACACATCCCTGGTGAGAACGCACACAACCCTGGTTAGACTGCACAGTGCTGGTGAGTCCAGCACACAGCCTTGATGAGACAATGCACAGCCCTGCTGGCTTACAAACGGTGATCGAGGAACCTCCTGCTTGTTTCCTTCGTATTCTGACAGTGGCTGCCATCAGAATTCCCCAACAGGGTTAACAGCCTATTGGCTGCTAGCTCTCCTTCGATCAGCTGATTGAGAGCTGCCCGTCAGAAAGATGTCGCCAGCGGAACGCACGCATTTAATTCTGCCCAGTTCATCAAGGACAAGCTACAATTCCAAGCGTGTTTACCCGGCTTTAGTCTACAATCGCTCTGGACTGAAAAAAAAATATGATTGGTTAGTATGGGATGCCGCCCTGGGAGTCATCTCAACCCTGGGTCCTTCCTCCTCTCCTTTAGGTGGCTTTCCCGTTTTGCGGAGTGCTGCCGAACTGAAGCCAGTGTAATCATTTGACAGACCTTCTGAAAGTCCAGCACCATTTTTCCTGAACTCCGAATTCCCAACATGATGAACACTTACTGAGCAGATAGGACCACACTACACAGAGAGGCCTTCACGAGGCTGTGCGGCTTCCACATATTCTGCAGCAGATGTGCAACTAAAACCTCTGTTTTTAACCTCAGTAGTAGGGCTGCAACAACTAATCAACATAATCGATTATAATCGATTATTGAAAAAGTTGTCAACTTTTTCAATAATCGATTAATCGGCTTCTGATTGGTTGGCCCTGTTCACGGCTCCGCACACGCTGCGCGCCACACCTCCTCCCCACCTCAAGCTCGCCACTGCCAGACCTGTCCGCATCCACGCTCCGCACCTCCTCCTCGCCTCACGCTCACCGCCCGCCCAAATCCACGATCGGCACAGGGACGCGGGGAGAAGAAGTAAGGAGGAGCATGTGTAGGGGGATGACAGCCGCCGATAGACAGGCCCGATCTCAGAAACAAGTTGCTGGAAGACTGCTCAGGTAAGCCTGCACTTTCCCACACATGGTGCCCTATAATGTATTGCTGGGATTTGTATTTCTCTATAGCTGATGGTACATTGTGCTGTATATTATACTATCAGCTATAGAGGACTACAAATCCCAGCAATACATTGTACACTGTATGTATAATGTATTGCTGGGATTTGTTTACTCCTATATAGCTGGTGGTATTCTGCATTGCGCGGTATAATGTACTATTGCTGGGTTCTGTATTCCTCTATAGCCAGTGCCATTCTGCATTCATTGCTGTATAATTTTACACTTTTCATTTCACTATATTGCACACACTATTTTTTTTCTTTTTTACTTCCACTGCTCCAAGCTTGCTCCTGTGATGGACTGCAATCTCAATACAAACTAGAAGTCCCATCACTGGAGCCATTTTTAAAATGTATTTCTTATCCGATTAATCGAACTTAATAATCGGCTAACTAATCGATTTTGAAAATAATCGTTAGCTGCAGCTCTACTCAGTAGTTAGTGTTTTTTTGCAGGCCGGCTGGTCAGAGTGCTGGGAAACTTTTTGCTGTTTAGGTGACACTAAACTCAGGCGTTAAATATTAAAAATACATTAAAGAACCTTAACTATGAACAACAATGTATCTTATTTGTGTATCACTCGGCTGTAGATCCTCAAATCTCCTCTGACTTGGTGCTGACACTGTCCTTCCCTCTGGAGGGTGGCTACTTTTGTTCCCCATGGTCCCTGTGTGTGTTGTAAAGTAGTCACCACTCCAAGCTCACTCCCATTAAAAGACCATAACCCTAATACAAAGTAGTAACCCAAATGTGAGATTGTAGTCCATGATGGAACTTTTATCCAGATCTCTTGTTCTTACCTCTATGAATATACAAGCAATAAAGACACAAAAACCACCTAAACTAGCTCAAATGTCGGTGTATTTTATGCAATTTTACAATCAAAGGCAGCGCAAATTAAGTACAATGTGTTACACTTCAATTCATGGACTACACGTGCAGTCTGTGACATCAACAAGTACAGTGCGCAACTGCTGTATAATCCTAGACTCTTCAGGCTCCGGAAGGCATCCTGACAAACCCCAGTGAGCTTGTGTTGCTATAATACAAGACTTGCAAAAGATAAGACACATTCTAAGCTACCCCAAAGGCGGAGGGGGCTTGGGTAAGAAGCGATTAGTAAAATACAGAACCATAGCATGACTGGATTTTAGTCCTAATACAGCAAGTGAAGGGAAAGAGGCAGTCCAATAAATAGCATGGGGGTTTGGCAAACCTTTGTCAGTCCAGCTGATGTCCGGGTTCTTGTTTGCTAGAAGCCCTAGCAATGGGGAAAGCTTGGCTAGTGGAAAATACAACAAGCGCAGAGTGGGGGGCCAGTGGCTTGGGAGAGAAGGGCAGCTAGTTGCCAGCTAGCTACATAGCATAGCTAGTAGTTGGTCACATTCAGCTGGACTTGTTCTGTAATGTTCCAGGCGTTTTGTAGCTTCTCCATAAGCCACTTCAATTCCATTGTCAGAAACATAACCTGGGATTTACATCCACACTGGGAGCAGACACCTTCATCCAATCACCATGGAATGTGTAGATATTGGTGGTCCAAGAACAGGATGGGAGGGGTGAAAGTTGTGGAACCACACAATTCTGGTTCTGGTTACACAATTCCATCCTTCGTGTCAGGAAGGTACCCCAACATTAATATCCACACCAGGTAGTACAGACCCCTTCATCCAATCACCATGGGATTTGTTCAAGGAAGATGTTGAATGTCCAAGAACAAGATGGGGGGGTGTGAAAGTAGAGGAATTACCATGCTCTAGTAACATGAGCACATCCTTGGTGTTTGGGAAGTCTGGACATATGCAAATTCCTCCATTTACATGGCTGAAGGTGTGAATGGTTGTCAGATCAGTTACAATATTATATAGGGGGGTGACAGATGGTGTTGAAGGCTCCCCACCACTGCCCAAGGGTGATTGTTGCAGCTTGACATAGATGGCATCTTCCACACCTTTAGCTTTGTAAATTGGGGAATTGAGACCTATGCAGAATCATCAACACCAAGGATCGGATTATGTAACCAGAACATGGTGGCTCTACAACTGTCACACTTCCCATCCTGTTCTTGGACAATCAACATCTACCTTGACACATTCCATGGTGATTGGATGAAGGTGTCTGTGCTACTTGTATAGATATTAGTGTTAGGGTATGTTGCAGACACCAAGGATGGGATTATGTGACCAGAACATGGTGGTTCCACAACTGTCACACTTCCCATCCTGTTCTTAGACAAACATCTGACTTGAAAACATGCTATAGTGATTGGATGAAGAGGTCTGTGCTACCTTTGTGCATATGCATGCTGGGGTATGTTCCGGACAACAAGGATGGGATTATGCGACCAGAACATGGTAGTTCCACAACTTTCCTGTTTTTGGATAATCAACATCTACACATTCCATTGTGATTGGATGAAGGCATCTGTGCTACCTGGTGAGGATATAAACGTTGGGGTACGTTCCTGACACCAAGGATGGAATTATGTAACCAGAACATGGTGGTCCCCCAACTTTCCCACCTCCCATCCTGTTCTTGTACAAACCTCTGCCTTGAACACATCCCATAGTGATTGGATGAAGGTGTCTGTGCTACCTTTGTATATATACACATGCTGGGGTATGTTCCTACACTCATTGGAATAGAAGTGGCTTGGAGAAGCTATGAAACATCTTCATTACAGAGCAAGCCTAGTTTAATGTGACCAACTACTACCAGCTATTCCATGACCTGTGCCAAGAGTATTAACATCGCAGTAGTGACCTAGCAATGTGCACCTGTTCACGTTTCTAGTTCTCAGATCCAGTTGCCAAACTGACCGATTGACTAAGTTACCAATCACATACTTGGTCTGGGAATCTAAAGCTTCAACAAAAAGGAGTTAAAAAGCTCAAAAGAAAGGCACCAACAGCGAGCGGACTGACAGAGGTTTGTAGAACCATCATTTATTTATACAATGTTAAACATTTACCAGCACTGCTCAGGAATAAATGCACAGATCTGAAAGCGATATTTCACCCCAAAAAAAATAAAGCTGCCATTTTCCCTCTCTCCCACATACTCAGATTAGAAGTTGCGTTAAAAACAAAGCACCTATATGAACGTGTGATCCCATTCGGCGTCCCTAAGGGCTGGAAAACAGCAGGAGAAGGTTGAAAGCCGCAGCCGCTGATCATTTATTGGGAGTAGAGTTCAGGACTAAACAGGGGGCAGAGCAGAGCCGAGATCCAGGAGGCCGCGGGAGATAAAAACCACATCGCTGAGAAGGATCGGAGCACGGGTGGGTTACAGTGCGGAGCCATGAGAACGAATGCGAACGGGAGTCGTGCAAGAGAGTCGGCCGAGTGATATCAGGAGTGTCGTCGCCGGCATCTCCGTATGGATTATCCTCATGCCAAAGCCAACACTGGAGGGGGGGAAAAAAAGCGGGATTATTTAAAGGGCAAGGACACATTTATACAGAACGGTAGATTCAATATCAGGATGAGAAAAAAATGCATCATGTTTACAATTTTACACAACGCACTGCAAACCACCTATAGGCAGTGTTGAGGTGTTGACAGTGCACATGGAAAACAATTGTTTTCTAGGTGACCTGTTAGCTGAGCCCGTGTTGATCTAAGTCAGAGGTAGCACTCCAGCTGTGGTGAAACTACAAATACAATCACGCCTCTGGGAGTCATGCCTGAGGCAGTCAGTCTTGCAATGCCTCATGGGACTTGTAGTTTCACCACAGCCGGAGTGCCAAGGTTGCCTACCCCTTGTCTATGCAGCCTAACTGTCATGATGTGAACGAGCCCTAAAGCTGAACTTCAGGTAGATATAAAAGACACAAATCTAGGCAGCTAAGATGTCATTAATGTCACCGCTTGTTGGAAATACACCAGCATACGCCGATATGTACTGATCTGTATTACCGACATGCAAGATCATCTTTTAAACTGTAGATGTCAGTATAGTAACAATGCTAGTCTTTGGGTTTATTTTTCATCTACAATACACACAGGAGGTTCTATCTGTACATACTAGGGATGCACGGATACCGGTTTTTGGGGTATCGAGTACCGATATTTTGTTTTCAGTACTTGCCAATACCGAATACCAGAAGTCCCATTAAGGAAGCCTGGCATCATCTATTGACTTGCCACCCGTCTTCCTGGTTAGCAGGGAAGCAGTCTCCATACTCCCTCCACATGGATCCGGCTTTATGGCCAATCAGGAAGATGGGCAGCGATTCATTACATGCTGCCCGGCTTCCTGATTGGCCAGGAAGAGAGGCTCCATGCTACCAGGTGAGGAGGGAATATTATTATTATTACATAGTATTTATATAGCGCCAACAGTTTGCGCAGCGCTTTACAATATAAGGAAGACATTAGTTACAATACAATTCAAGACAAGATGGTAAGGAGGGCCCTGCCCCTGATGGAACACAGGCTCCCAGAACACCGGCTCCATCGAAAGATCGACTTGTTGACCTCTGTCTGGGCACGTCACATCCGGTGACTGCCAGTAGGAGATGTGCAGCAGATGGAGCTAGTCTGCATGGGCAGAAAATCCTTGTCGAACTGTCTAACTATTGCCACTGCACTGCTACCGGCTCATCGGATTCTATAACCTAGTACAAACGTATATATTTGTCCTAGGTTATAGAAGCCGATAGCCACGCAGTGGCAACTGTGGTTGTAGAAAGAATCATGTGGCCGTGCAGGCGCTGTAACATAATATAACCTTTGACTAGGTTAGATGAGGCAATAGCCACTGCGCCTGTGCGGCTATCGGCTTCTATAACCTAGGACAAATATAACTGGAGTAGGTTATAGAAGTGGATAGCCGCGCAGGCGCTGTGGCAATAGTTAAGACACTTTGACAAGGACTTCCTGGGCATGCACACTAGCACCATCTGCTGTAGATCTCCTACTGGCAATCACCGGATGTGACGTCACCAGTTGGAGAGGTCGACAAGTTGGAACTTGCATTACAACACCGGCTTCCTAGCCAATCAGGAACCTGGGCAGCGTGTAATGACTCGCCGCCCGGCTTCCTGATAAGCCCCCTTCACCTCATTCTTCATTACCTCCTTCACACCAGTCCCACTAGCACAACATTTTGAGGCACCCCTGGGAAGCAAGAAGGCACACCAGGGTGCCACAGCCTCCTGATTGAGAAAGGCTGATCTAGACCATTCAGTTTCATTTCACACCAGCCATCTGTCATAAGCACAACGCTAGCCAGGAATAGCCACAAACCTGTAAGAGCTTCCTGTGCAAAGTATTTCACATCTACATCTTGGTCTTGAGTTAACTTCTCCAGAACTGGTTTCACGTCACTCTGTAGGGTGCTGCAATACAGGGGAAGAAGCAAAGTCATTATACTTGTACAAGATGCATAGTGCAAGCCATCAGTCATTGTAATCTCTTCCAAGTACAACACACCGCCGCTATACAGCGGGGAGCTTTCAATATTAGAAAATGATCTTTCCAGGCTGCAGCAGTACTTGTTACTTTAATGTCGGCTACATCAGCAGCACAAACTCGCCTCCCTTTAGTTACCCCACCAGGAGCCAAGAAATGATGGACCAAGAAATGATGCCTGGTACTTTCACATATGGGGGCGCATATGACTCACTCCCCTTCATCCAATGTATCCTCACTTGAGGCAACTAGGGAGTCCTCGGGGCCCAGGTAAGCTCAAAAGGTGCAACTAATGCAGGGCTTCCTCCCTATATTCAACAGCCAAACAAAGCGACAGAGGAGCAAAGGCAGCAATGCAGCTGTTGGGGCGCATTAAAGTGAATCTCCTGCTCACTGCAAAGTGACGGTCACCAAAAAAAGCATTTATATGCTTACCTTTCCAGTGCTCCATATACTGAAAACCAGCTGCACCTCTGCTCCCAATTCTACACTTCGGGTATGCAGAAAAGGGATGCATGTATATCGAGTATTTTGGGGAGTACTCTTACTCGCCCAAATGCTCCGATTCCTTCCCCAATACCAGAACTTCTCGTCAGAGGAAGATTTCCTCCGACAGGCAGTAGGGGAACATGAAGCCTGCTAATGACTGGCCTCCCGGCTTCCTGATTGGCGGGGAAGCCATCTCTATTTTGACCGGCCAATCAGCATCGAGCCACCAAACATGGAGACGGCTGGAAATCAGGAAGCCGGGCGGCATGTCATTACCCGCTGCCCGGCTTCCCAATCACTCGGGAAGCCGGCACCATTCTAGCACTGGTATTGGTACTCGGTATGGGTGAGTACTGACAGCAAAATATCAGTACTCGATATCGAAAAACCAGTATTGGTGCATCCCTAGTGTAGAATATTTGCTCCCCCTCCAGCCACTGTGGATGCCCCCCCAGGACTTATACATCATGTAAGGACATATGAGCCTGCGTAAGAAACTAGAGTGGTCGGCAGGTGGGAGCAACTACTCATCCAAGAGGTTCAATACTTGCAGTAGGCGGGGAGCGGAGCTGGGACGGCTTTTCAATACTTGGGCTGCCACAAGGAAAGCGATCTACAGATATATCCATAACTTTTAAATGATTGATTTTGTAAAAGTGGCCTGTGCTACCCCAGTGGCTCAGAACAGCTAGACTACAGAAGAATTCCGGAGCCAAAGCAAAGTCAGACCCGAAGAATAACAGTTGTGCCTAACTTTCGAGTACTTTCATGGGAGGGTGATGACAAGGAGGCAGCTCCAGCTCTCCATGATGTGTCTGCCACAGACATAGAAAATGGAGCAGATCGCTCTTACTTAATTATCCTTATTGCATTACTTTACCTTTATAAACCCCGAGCTGCAGATTTCCACTCCTCTGATCAATCTATAAACCCTGAGCTGCAGATTTCCACTCCTCTGATCAATCTATAAACCCCGAGCTGCAGGTTTCCACTCCTCTGATCAATCTATAAACCCTGAACTGCAGGTTTCCCCTCCTCTGATCAATCTATAAACCCTGAACTGCAGATTTCCACTCCTCTGATCAATCTATAAACCCTGAGCTGCAGGTTTCCCCTCCTCTGATCAATCTATAAACCCCGAGCTGCAGGTTTCCCCTCCTCTGATCAATCTATAAACCCCGAGCTGCAGATTTCCACTCCTCTGATCAATCTATAAACCCCGAGCTGCAGGTTTCCACTCCTCTGATCAATCTATAAACCCCGAGCTGCAGATTTCCCCTCCTCTGATCAATCTATAAACCCCGAGCTGCAGATTTCCCCTCCTCTGATCAATCTATAAACCCCGAGCTGCAGATTTCCACTCCTCTGATCAATCTATAAACCCCGAGCTGCAGATTTCCACTCCTCTGATCAATCTATAAACCCCGAGCTGCAGATTTCCACTCCTCTGATCAATCTATAAACCATGAGCTGCAGGTTTCCACTCCTCTGACCAATCTTCTACGTTTGAGTCCAAAGATCGACAATGCAGCAAAATAAACTTTCAGCTTTTTATGCCACAGCATAAGTCACATTTATTCAGAAGTGATAAAAAAAATAAAAATGTATCTGGGATATAGATTGGCTCCATCTCCATAGGACACAGAGTTAAGGGATGATATGACACTGGGTTGCTATTGCTGTGCCGCGTGGATTCCTGCGTTGCCTGTGGCTATGAAACAACTTGGCTCTATCAGACACAGATGTGTCTTCATGAACAGAAGAGACGGATCCATCAAAATAAAAAGCTGGAATGTCACACGCTGATTGTGTCCTCTCTGTGGGACGGACTCTGCAGCTCTCCGCTTCACCCAGAGAGAGATTATGAAATAGTTACCGCAGAGGTTATAAGAGGTTCACCATCATCAAACCGTAAATAAGACTTCAATCCAATCTGCTCTTCAGGCTTTTTGAAGGAATATATTTTAAAGGAAAACTAGACCCTGCGACTTCAGATCTCCGTTCTTTAAGAAAAAGTCTCCAACATAGAAAATGATTACAAATCGATGAGGATGAAAAGGGGGAATAAACTCCACAGAAGCTGGAAATACTTCCATGTACAAAGATTATTTTTAACACCACACAGGTCCACGTGTACGAAACCCCTAGGTTTCCCATTCTGTCACTGTAGGACAGTTTTGAGGCAATGAGAAATGTAGCCACAGTTAAGCAAAACCGCTCTGTACACTAGATCTGAAAAGCCCCCCATTCACAATGAGCGATTTATCGCACGTAGGGCTGCAACAACTAATCGACATAATCGATTAGAATCTATTGAAAAAGTTGTCAACTTTTTCAATCATCGATTAATCGGCTTCCGATTGGTTGGCCCTGTTCACGGCTCCACACATGCTGCGCGCCACACCTCCTCCCCACCTCACGCTCGCCACTGCCAGACCCGCCCTCCCGCATCCACGCTCCACACGCTGCACCCCCTCCCCGCCTCACGCTCCCCACCCACATCCACAACAGGACTACAAAACCCAGCAATAGTACATTATACAGCGCAATGCAGAATACCACCAGCCATAGAGGACTACAAAACCCAGCAATAGTGCCTTATAGCTGGCGGTATTCTGCATTGTGCTGTATAATGTGCAATTGCTGGGTTTTGTAGTCCTCTATAGCCGACCTGTGCATTCTGCATTAATTGCTGTATAATTTTACACTTTTCATTTCACTATATTGCACACCACACTTTTTTTTTTATATCTTTCCACCACTCCACGCTTGCTCCTGTGATGGACTGCAATCTCAATACAAACTAGTAGTCCCATCACTGGAGCCATTTTTTTAACATTTAATTTTTTATCCGATTAATCGAACTTAATAATCGGCTAACTAATCGATTTTGAAAATAATAGTTAGCTGCAGCTCTAATTGCGCGGTAATTCCCGCGATATCACGGCTATTTACCGTGCAATATCGCTCTCCAATGCATGGCAATGGGGCTCTGTCCTTCGCTGTCGCGGGTCGCTACAGCAGGACCCTTTTTGGAGCGGATTTTGCCGCGATTCTAGCTTGATGCAAGCATTTGTGCGACAAACACGCGACATAGCGCAAAATGCAAATTGCGCGAATGGCGTTTGTCGTGCGATTTGCATTTTGCGCGATATCGCGCAAATGCTTGCATTGAGCAAGCTAGAATCGCGGCAAAATCCGCTCCAAAAAGGGTCCTGCTGTAGCGACCCGCGACAGCGAAGGACAGAGCCCCATTGCCATGCATTGGAGAGCGATATCGCAGGGTAAAGAGCCGCGATATCGCGGGAATTACCGCGCGATAAATCGCTCAGTGTGAATGGGACCTAAGAGGTGTCTGTCAACCTGCTAAACCTCAAAGACTTAGTATTCCTTCTTATTTTAGAGTCAATCAAATTAAAAGCAATATATAAAAGGAGGTGGGATCTGATGGGCCATGGCATCCACTAGTCCAGGAGTAGGCAACCTCAGCACTCCAGCTGTTGTGGGACTACAAGTCTCATGAGGCAGTGAAAGACTGACTCCCAGAGACATGACAGGATTTGTAGTTTCACCACAGCTGGAGTGACAAGGTTGCCTACCCCCCTTTTTTTTTTTTATGTCTTGCGGCCCTTATATCTGTAAATTCTCTGCCATAGGCCATGGCGCTGTCCTGCCCAGCTGTGACTGTCCACACTCATCCTATTGGATTTTCCAATTTATAACAAAATTAGAAATCCTCCAATGAAAGGAAGACACTGTCACGCTTTGGAAATGACAGCAAACCCTGCTCCTTATAATGAAACCATAGGCAATAGCAGCAACCGTTTCATTGTTAGGCCACCTGGTTTCCTGAAGGTTGATGTTTATACTAGGGATGCACCAATATCGGTATTTCCGTATCAAGAACGAGTACCAATATTTTTTTTTTTAATACTCGCCGATACCCAATACAGAGTCCCGGAAGTCCCATTCAGGAAGCCAGGCGGCGTGTAATGACTCCATACCTGGCTTTCCGATTAGCCGGGCAGCGTGTAAGCAATCGCCACCCGGCTTCCCGTTTAGAAGAGAAGCCGTCCCCATGCTCCTAGTCACTAGGTGATGAGAAAGCATGGAGCCGGCTTTCTGGCCAATCAGGTAACCGGGAGCTATGCAATGACGCACGCCTGATGGGCTCCATGCTCCCTCATCATGAGGCGACGAGGGAGCATGGAGCCGGCTTTCCGGCCAATCAAAGCCGGGCAGCGTGTAATGATGCGCTGCCCGGCTTCCTGATACCGGAAGTATTGGGCTAGGCATCTGAGCATTTGGGCGAGTACGACAAAATACTCGGCATCCGCACCGATAACGACACTAGTATCGGTGCATCCCTAGTTTATACAGTTCGGAGACTCAAAAGATTGACCACCGACAGATAATGCTATGGCCTCACACAGCAAGAGCAGTTCAGTGAATTGAATACCCCCCATCCCCCAATTCTATGCTTTCAGGGGTCTGGAAACAATTAGCATAGTCATACTGAAACTATGAAAACACTGTAGCTTTCATTAATATGCACATACAATGTATATATCCTTCAAAATAAACACAGATCAATGTGGTAGATTTCAAACCCTTTCATAAATACACATTCCAGAGCGGAAGGGTTAGCGATGTGCCATTTCGCAGAAGAGAATAAAAACAATAACTGATCCAGATCCATTTCTCAGTAGTTTCCAGGAAATATACCCAATGTGAGCTTTCTGTTATTACATCAGAGCGGAGGTGCTGAAAATGGAAATTCTTTGACAGACAAGGTAATAAAAAGGCACCGGTGGTTTCAATTAGAGCCCCAGGAGGGAACGTCAATACGTTTTGAGGGACCCCCGTTTATTAGACACGCGGACAAAGGGCAGATTCATCCTTAGAGACACAACCAATAAAGCTGGAACTCCAACTGATGCTGGACTGCTGAAAAGGGGACAATGAAGATGCCAAGAAAAAAAGGGAAACTGGCTACCGGGGCTGCAAAGTATAGCTTTGGAATGTTATGCTTAAGAAAATACACCCATGCCCTGCAAATACCAAATCAACTGCCTTCTGACCTCAAAGAGACCATGTGACCACACCATTAAATTCAACAAAAACTAGGGATGCACCAATACTAGTATCGGTATCAGTGCCGAAACCGAGTATGCCTAGCCCTACACCCGAACTTTCAGGTATCAGGAAGCCGGGGAGCCAATCATTACATGCTGCCCAGCTTCCTGACTGGTTGGTAAAATGAGCAATGAGGAAGCCGGATGGTTAGCCATTACCCACCTCCTCCCCGGCTTCCTGATTGGCCAGAAAGCCGGCTTCATGCTCCCTCATCACTTGTTTTCTGTGCTTTTACCTGCATTTTTTTAAAGTTGGTGACAGGGTCTCTTTAAAGTGAACCTACGCTTAGAGCACAAAGGGCAAAGTAACAGGTTCACATAATGCCCCCCCTCCCCGGCTGCATAAAGTACCCTTTCCTTTACTCCCGTTGCAGCTCAGAGCAAAAGGAAACGCCCTCCACTATGTAGCAGCGGGTATAGGGAGCATGTGCCTCACTTCCCTCCTTCATGAATCAGCTGGGCATTTGCCACTCGGGCACCCACTGCTTTCACATAGTGACAGACAGTCTTCATTGTCTAATCAAAGGCTGGGAGAGGGAGGTGACCCAAGAATTGTTTTCTGCTCTGCGACTGCTCATTTTCCTTCCGTGTGCTCACTTGCTTCCCTAACAGCCCGCACAGAGGTTTAATTAAAGTTTCACACATCCCCAGCACTGTCAGGTTGACAGACAGGCTTTCAGAATAATTCAGGCATATGTCTAAGGGCCCATTCATACTGAGCGATTTATCGCGCGATATCGCTCTCCAATGCATCTCAATGGGCCTCTGTCCGTCGCTGGCCCGGGTCGTGCGTCGCTACAGCAAGACCCTTTTTGGAGCGGATTTTGCCGCGATTCTAGGTTGCTCAATGCAACCATTTGTGCGATATTGCGCAAAATGCAAATCGCACGACAAACGCGCGATTTGCAAATCGCTCAGTGTGAATGGGGCCTAAAGGTGTCCCAGAAATGAAATGGCTCATTACAATACTGGGAATTACCGAGTTAATATCTCTCCCGCTCAAAAATCAGACACACCCACTCCGCAGTTAGGCTGGGTTCAAACCTAGGCATTTTACAGCGCTGATCGACACGCTGTAAAACGCTCAGCAAGTGATATCCCATTATTTCCTATGGGCATGGTTCCCACCTGGGCGTATTTCAGCGCGTAGGAACGCACTGAAAAAAACGACTTACGCCCAAAGAAGTACAGGAGCTTCTTTGGGGCGTATTAGGATACAGCCCGATAGCCCTCGTAAAGGCGCGTTTGTCGCGCGTTTCATTGACCGCAAATCGCAGTAAAAACGTGCCTATTACGAACGTCCAAGTGTGAACCCAGCCTTAGCTTGAAGACCTTTAGCAGCCCATCTGCCTTCAGAACACAAGTACAACTAGACTGGAGCAGGCAGTTCCTTCCTCTTGACAAAAGTGGAATCACTTTAAGGCCCCATTTACATAATGGGCAAACACGGCTGAGCAAACGTTTTTTTCCCCCCCACGGAACGCAAGTCATCAAATTTCTGACATGTACTTTCTCGCATCTGGCGCGCCTCCAGGGTCCCAAAGGAGAAGACTGGTGCCAAACGCAGGTAACAAACGCCTGTGAACACCTGTTCCCACAACGCTAGGGTGTGAATGGTGGCTAAGCAAGTTATAACAGCTGCCTGTACTGGAACAAGGTACAGAAATGAGCCCCACTGATGCCGCCACCTGACCTTTCAATATCACATTTGACACTTGGTTTTGTCTTGATTGGCTAGATATATGGAGTTGTACCTGTTGTCCAGTGTGGGTCCGATCTTCTGCAGAGACTTGGCAACATTAAAGCGCACATTTGCCACGGCATCGCCGGCCATCCGCACTACCGTGGGAAGCATGTGCTTGGTGGTGATATCCTGTCCGCAAACTTCAGAGAGTACCTGGGGAGAAAAAAAAAACAAAAAAACTCAGGCCTGTAAATAGTAGATCAGGCTTCTGCCCTTAAAAAATGACAAAAGTTTATGTCCAGGAAAACCACGGGTAGGTAAACGGCAACCCACCAGCTTTGGTGCAACTACAACTCCCATGAGGCATTACTCGACTCCCGACAGTCACAGGCATGATGGAATTTGTAGTTCATCACAGATGGAGGGCTAGAGTTTTCCTGCCCCTGCTCTAAACCTTCACTTACATTGATGCAGAACAAGGTGGTCATTCGGTGCAGATAGTTGGGGTCGTTGGACATTGCCAGCACTTTTGGGATGATGGTGGCCTGAGCCCATTCTTTACCAAACTTCTCCACCAGCTTCTTCAGGTTGCTGGTAGCTGCCTCCCTGATGGCGTATACTGCAAAAACAAACATTCAAGACAGTCAAGATTTTATTTTTATTATCAAACAATGGAAACTATTACAAAAGAAAATGTTTCAGAACCCAATATTTATAGGAGGTTTGGGATACAATCCTTTCTCCAAAATATTACTCAGCATTTACATAGCGAGATCATCTGGTGATCCGAAGATAAAACGTAAACCATAGATATTCGCTTAGGAATCCCCCCCCCCATTTATCATATTCGCCAACTGTCACTTCACGTCAGGATAACAAACTACTGCACATCTCTTTTGTACTGTTCAACCGCGAGCTCAAAGCCTTGAGGAATACTCTATAGCAGTGGTTCTCAACTCGTGGGTCGCGACACCCTCTGCAGTGGGTCGCGGCGTCATGTCTGCATAGGCCGGCCCATCTGCATTAGAGAGAACTAGAGGGGGAATTTGTGGTTCAGCCTGTGGAACCTCATAATGTCAAACTGTCCCCTCTCTCCCGGCCTCCCCCGGGCTCTCCGATAAAGTGGTATGGCCCGGGGAGAGAGGGGACTATTTCCTCACTTTCGGGCCGGCGCATTAATATCGGGCCGCGGCGCCCGACAATTAAGTTATAGTTCCGGTCTGCACGGGAGAGTACAGCAGATATCAATCCGCCGCTGTATCTACTGTACTCTCCATCTATAGCATTCACACGTCCACATTAGAAAATATAAAAGGCCATCACATCATGGTGAAATATTGCCACAAGCATACAGTCGGAATCAGCGATCCACTAGAACTGCAGAATAGATTTGGTTGCACAATGTTTCCCGCCATTCACACATAACCATAAACATCAAAGAAGTCCCATTGTATAAACTTGCATATTTTGGGAAAGCTCAGTATATAAAGAATGGCTATAGGGATGAACTGAAAACTGACCTACTGAAAGTTAGCGTCACCATACATCTCCGAGATGTGTACACATGCCAGTCTGTAGACATTTGAAGCCTTTTTCAAATGGCAGATCCATTCATTCTAGTGTGTAGGGAATAACTAACCCAACATAAAGCACAGCTCCGCTTTTCTCCACCCTAGAGGTGTCTGAACCTACCTGCAGCAACTCCCTAAGCAGTAAGCCTTCCCCTCAGCAGGGAGGACTTGCGATGACCGCAAATCCGATCTTCCTGTACAACAAGTGCAGGTCGTACGAAATGTTAAGCGCCTTACAACCATCGCACAACGAAAGTGGTGCGATGGTTGTAAGGTGTATGTCCACCTTAATAACTGTTAATGTCATCACATCTAATGCAGGTCCACTGATTTGCATTAGATGTGAGGATGCAGAGGAGCATAACACAGCTGGTGTGGAGGGGGAGAGAGGTGAGCACTGACTGCCGCAGGATCGAGTGAGTATATCTTCTTTATTCCGGCATGTAGACCAAAATGAGCGGTTAACCCTTGCAGTCCCGGGGTAGCCCCACTGCAAGAGTAAGTTTTATAAAAGCCCTGGAGTTCTTCTTTAAAGTGACAGAGCGACTGACAATACAGCTACCATCACCCAGCACGTCCGAGAGAGAGGATCTGCTGGAAATATTTTGGATCCCAGGATCAGTAACAGTAATATGTCAGCCGAGGATGAACACCGATACATGGAAGTTATAATTAAAAGCCAGGCAAGGTTTAAAATGTATTTCTATTTGGTTTTAGTTGGTGAGCGGTTCTGTTTAAAGCTTACTAGCCTTAGAAATCACTCTAATGTCCATTTTTATCTCCTGCTCAGACAATATTTTCTGCTCCCTGCTAGAAAAGCAAATATCAAGCATCATAATGATTATGTCTTCCTTTAAGCAATACACAAGCACCCCGCCGCTTTATCCTCATCAGCGGCTGTAAGGGACGCTGGTTTATTAATGGATAATTACATCTGTAAAGTGTCAGCACCGTGTCCTTTGGCATGAAGATTTAAAGATAAACAACACTGCTTACCGTGATCCACCAGCCAGGCCATACATAACGAGTTCAGCTTCTCGTCGAAAAACTCTACGCCCTGCACAGGGAAAAAAAAAAAAATCATTGGTTTGGCCAAGAAACAAAAACACGTCTGTCTATGATCAACATGAATGCTTCTTTCAACAGCCCTTTAAGAACAGAATTCCATCTCTGGTAGAACATAATGAGCAGGAACAATATCTCCCTCTGCTGGTGAGAAAGTTGCAGAGCTCAGGACATCGGCTGTGTGTCTCGAGGGAAATTGGCCCTGGATGGGGCTCAGCCAATGGTTTGTTTAAATGTTATTAGACTTTGGTTAAAACCCAAATGCAGATTTGATTACATAAAACCAATTCCCACTATGATAGCGAGGGAGTGTCATCCCCAAAAACAGCAAAAACTTGGCAGCAGAGATTTCATATCATTTCAAGAAAATGTCAAACCGTCACTGTGTCGTTCCACAACCAAAACAAGTATGGAAGAAAACAATACTTTATTAAAAAGGAGAACTATGAGGTGAGTGCTTTTCACTCACCTCATAGTTCTAGCCGACCTGTGACAATGAGACTGTCACAGGTCGGCTCAGTAGATCGCGAGGTGAGCGAACACATACCGGCGTTCGCTCACCTCTCGATCCTGTCACGGCTCTCTGCCGTGACAGGGGCTGGATTCCCCCCTCCCCGCTCCACCAGTGCTGACTGGCGGAACGGACTGGGGAGGGGGCGAGGACAGATGGCTCTGCCTCTAGATAGACAGAGCCAGCTGTCAGTCACGCAGCTGGGTGGATCTCGGCACAATTGTCGGGATCCGCTTCAGCGTCTTAGTATACCGCAAGCTACAGCTCGCGGTATACTGAGCCTAGGGTGACGGGAGGACGCTAGTTTGTGTCCTCCCGTTACCCTGAGAACTATGGGATAAAGCCTTAACCCCATAGTTCTCCTTTAAGTCAGCAGTAAGCAAATAGCAGCATGTATGTTAGAAACGGGAGACAGTTTTTTTTTTTTCAAGTGGACCCAGATTCAAAAAATTAAGATCTGCTACCTTATAAAAAAGGAACATCTTGGAAATGTTAATTGTGCCTAAAGGTATACCATGAAAGATTTATATTTTGTCCTGAATTGATCCTAAAAACTAACAGTGTCCTCCTTGTGAGTATGTCGGCCTCTCTCAACCTTATGACCCAGAGGAAGTCTTAAACTGTCAGAGAAATCCTTTTACAAAAAATACATCTACAGCTCAAAAGGACATTAAGATCAGTAAGTTGCAGATATTACTGTGATTATTACCATTATTAGCATACCTACAGTATGTGACACGTAACATTTTTAAACACACCCTACGGGATAAAATAATTTGCAGTTATAACAACTAAATTAGAATGGTAAAATAAAAACGCAAACTCCAATACATTGGTGGTCAGTGGAAATTTTTTTTCTTAATTTTGTATTCAGTGAAGGGCCCTCTTACATTGGTGGTCAGTGCAGAAGTGACTTCTTACATTACATTTTGTGGGAAAAGTGCCCCTTACATCTATAAGGAAGCGGGAGAATGAGAGGAAGAATGTCCCTTACACTGCTGGTCAGTGAGAAGAATGCCCCTTACATTGGTGGCCAGTGAGAAGAATGCCCCTTACATTGGTGGCCAGTGAGAAGAATGCCCCTTACATGGTGGCCAGTGAGAAGAATGCCCCTTACACTGCTGGTCAGTGGGAAGCATGCCCCTTACATTGGCGGTCAGTGGGACTGCTGCCCTAGAAGAATGCACTATTTCCTTGATAGTCAGTGGAAAGCATGACTCCCTACTGTGGTAGTCAGAATGCCCCTCTTACAGAAAGCTCAGAAGGCCCTGGAACAATGCAGGCACCATCAGATGGGAAGTCAGTCGGTCACTACCCCAGCATCCTCCGGGGAAACCATGATTGAAGATGGCTGTTCTAAGCACTTCTGCTCTGTAGCCTCACAACTGTATATCTGCAGTGTGAGATCTCAGGTACTGCCTACCATTGACTTCCAGTCTCACCCAATCTGATGCGAGATATGGTGACAACACTATTGTGCTGCTTCCTGTGCTTGTTGCTGGAAAAGAAGCCATACTTGGGGGCGACGCAGCTGATTGTGTTGTGTGAGATATGGGCGGGGGCTGGGGGCATTTTTGCGTAAATGCAAACTTTAAAAACGTCCATCACTAAGAGAATCATCTACTTCCTTTCATCATTTTAGATGTATAGCATAATAAAATATGCATTTAAAAAATACACACTTCCTCACAATTTGCCTACTGGAGCATTTGCAGAAAACAAGTAGAAATGATGAATGTGTTTTCATGTCAGGGATGCAGATTTTCCACTCGCAGAACTACAAGACAATGGAACAAATTGCAGCTTATAATCACGGCCCTTTATTGTGGTATAATAACCATGATGAGCTCTATCCCTACACCCCAGCTCACACAGAACACTCATTCTGCAGTTCCACTTGTCCAATAAAGAAAGTCTCTTGACCTTGATCATCATCTGTTTACAGACTCCAGGCACACAGAGAAAAACAAGGCCAAGAACTCGGATGAATGTTAATAGATGCTCATACCAGCTGCTCAGCAAAGAGACGCACGTACTCACTGCTGTGGACCTTGAAGCACGGCACACACACAAAAAAGGCCAAGCACATATAAATCTTAATTGATACACATACCAGCTGCCCGGCGAGCAGGGGCATGTACTCGATGATGGCCAGGCGCACTCGCCACTTGGCGTCTTCAGCCAACTCCACAATAGCGGGCAGAAGTGACTGGGAGAGCTGGCGGATGCCGATGACTTCATTGACGCAGTCCAGGTTAGAGATGATGTTGAGCCTCACTTCTGGACACTGAAGGGAGAGATTAGACAGAGCGATTAACTGGGGCCCGAATTACAACTCACAGCGGCTATTTATTTGTTACAGGCATTTATATAGCACGGAAAATGTACACAGAACTTTTACATCAGTCCATGCCCTCAAGGAGTTCACAACCCAATGTCCCTACCTCAGATATAGATATACATCTATATAGATCTAGATATCTACTAGTGATGCAGATACCTTGCTTTTGGTACCCGTCAATACCAGTGCTTGGCCGAGAAGGCTCCATGTTGTCTATACGGCTTCTGATTGTGCTTGGCCGGAAAACCTGGTTGCCAGCCAATCAGCATCAAGCCAACTTCCAGGCCAATCAGGAAGCCGGGTCATTACTCGCCACCCAGCTTCCTGATCGCACAGGAAGCTGGCTCCAGTGCCGTAGGGGGAAGTTCCAGTACCGGGAAAGGTATTGGAGCATTTGGGTGAGAACTAGACCAAATACTCGGTATCGGCACAGATACCAATACTAGTATCGGTATATCCCTAATACATACAGGCACATACAACAGCCAATTTGAGAGAGGAGCCAATTAACCCACCAGCAAGTCCACAGAGTGTGGGAGGGAATGGGTGTACCCAGAGGAAACCCACACAAGCGCAGTACATGCAAACTATGTAGCTGGACCATTGATAAGTGGTCACCACACTGAAAATGGTGCTCCTTTTTTAATGGAGAATCCTTCAGGACAGTTTAATGACCTCACAGGTTCTTCTGCTTCTCATCCAGCAGTGGTGTTGCTTGACAATGCCCTGCAGAGCATACGCCGGTCAGCCATACCATTAGCACTATGGGAAGAAGGCAAGCTGACAGAGGCTGAGTGATGATTTGGACAATGTTCTGCTGGGAAACCTCGGGACCTGCCATTCCTGTTGATGTTACCTTGACACGTACCACCTACCTAAACACTGTTGTATTCCCTGATGGCAGTGGCCTCTTTCAGCAGGATAATGCACCATGCCACTGAAAAATTTGTTCAAGAATACTAAGATCTGATCCCCACAGCCTCCTGTGTTTGTTGACATCCTGCGCCTGCTCTGAGGAGCCCTATAGAAGTCTATGGAGCCTGTCTCTTAGCAGGCAGATGGACATAGAGGACTCCTGTGACTTCCATAGGGCTCAACTGCACAGGCACAGCCAGAGAACTTGCAGAATGTCAACAAACACCGGAGGTTGTGGGAACAGGCCCCTTTGTTAATTAGGAGCAATCTGCTCTGTTTTTTATGCCGTGTCTGTGCAGACATGGCATAGAGAACAGCTCCCTGTGTCCACCCCCTGCCATTCAGCTGAGCGTGAGGAGTAAGGCTGTTAACGATGCATTTGCCAAGGGATTGTCAACAAGCTGGAGTGGAGAGAGGCAAGCGCTGACCACCAGTGAAACAGGGATCAGGCAAGTAAAAGTGCCACATACACCCTAAGCACAAACTAGCAGTTAACCTTTGCAATGCACGGGTAGCCTCACTGCAAGGGTAGTTTTTTTTTTTTTTTACTCCGAGATAGGCTTTAAGATCACAGAATACAGCTCTAACCCAATTCCAACATATGTAGTCTAGGAAAGCTTAGGATAAAATTATATTTTGTGCTCGTTTTAGAACTGTGGTACTCAACTGGTGGGTCGGCACGTGCCTTCCACTGCACTAGGTGAGAGCCTCCTTAGCCTTCCTATAGTGCAGCACTGTCAGTTCTCACGCCGAGCAGCTATTCAAAATATACTGCCCAGTGCCGAGTGGGGGATATGGCTTTGAGGGACCTTCATTCATACGTGCATTACGTACACCTCCATCGTGTGCCCAGTAGAAGTGCCTGGACCGGCGTGACGTCACATTCGTGCGTTAATCACACAGTAGTGCGTTAAAACACACAATCTCATGCCATTAACGCACTGTACCATGCAATCACACGGGAGGTGCGTTGCCATTCATTTGAATGGCACTCCAAATGCACCATGTGGCCTCAGTTCGATCGCCCCCACCGGAAAGCTGTGCGAGTAGGACCGCGACTATGACCAAAGGACAAATGTGGGTCTCGTGGTTACACAGGTTGAAAACCACCGTTTTAGAATATGATCAGAGCAGCCGTCATCTTCACTATTACTTCCTTGTGACGTGCTCCCTCTTGTGGCAGAAATATTCAAGATGAGCCAAAAAAACAAACAAACCCCCGGAAGTATATTACATAACCATCGACGACACAGTCGTAATCTCATCAAATTGAGCAATGCAATATACCACATACAACGAGACAATATATAGAAACTTCACTTACCTCATCCTTCAGCTGAGCCAAAAAAAGAGGAAGAAGATGCTCTATAGTGTTATCCTTCCCCAGGATGGGGGACAGGCCCATGATGACTGATGCCAGGGCAGATTTCACATGCTGGTTGGCATCTGAAACCAATTCCTAATTATAAAAGAAACGGAAGAAAGAAGAGCAACAGGATTTTAATTCTAATACATTCCAATCTAACAAACACGGTAGAGCTGTTTAAAACACCAACATTTGTGGACTTACATGAGCTTTTTCGACATCCATTTCCCTAACCATGGGCAGTCACATGAACTTGGTTCGCTCTTTGTGCCTCTAATGGCCTCCACGCTTCTGGAAGGCTTTGTACAACATTGTGGGGCACATTGTGAGAATCTGTGCACATTCAGCCAAGAGAGAATTTGCCAAGTCAGGTACAGGAAGACCCGACTTGGTCGTCATTCCAGTTCATCCCAAAAGGAGTTCACTAGGGTTGGTCGTCATTCCAGTTCATCCCAAAAGGAGTTCACTAGGGTTGGTCGTCATTCCAGTTCATCCCAAAAGGAGTTCACTAGGGTTGGTCGTCATTCCAGTTCATCCCAAAAGGAGTTCACTAGGGTTGAGGTCAGGGCTCTGAAGGCCACTTGAGCTCCTCCAAACCAAACTGGTCACACCATGTCTTTATGGAGCTGGCTTCGTACACATGGGTACAGTCTTGCTGGAACAAGAACAGACCTTCCCAAACTAACCACCAGGCTGGAAGCACAAAACTGTCTAAAATATCCTTGAATGATGTAGAATTAACAGTACCCTTCACTAGAAACACCTGACCGCCATCATTTGGAGGGGTATCCACATGCTTTTGGCCATATAGTGAAGATGTGATGGTCGGGTGTCTACAAACTTCTCGGCCTTACAGAGTAACTTAGAAAAACGTTGTCTTGGTGGCTGAAGCTGGGAGGATGATTAATAGGCACATTAGCTGAGCTTCTAAACCAGGCACTGCAAATTTCTTATCAATATCCATCCTGTCAGGATCATTGAGTGGGAGGTTGAAACACATATTGGGTGTGAAAGGCATAGCAGTCCCTTTAAATAGTCGATTTCCTGAATCCAATCACACATAAGCGACGTTCAGTATAGTTTTTTTCACAAATCCTATGTCACCCGTATGATTAGAATCGGATATGTATTGTCAATCCTCAACCAGTTTTCCCATACTAACCCCATGGCGGAGACACTGAACGGCTTTTGTTTCACTGTCCCGGGACTAGTATAAGGCTCATGAGTAAGGGCATAATAGGTTCCATCAGAACCTAGCACACAGGTCTTTCTCTTCATGGCAGACCACCTATTAACCATAATCGTCTAAAAGCACAGCATCAACACACCCCACAGTGCTATACAGGATGAGCTTTAAAGTCTGTCTTCAACAGAATGGACACTGCGGATTTAAAAGACTGCATATAGAACACTATGGGGGTCTATTTTTAAAAAGCATTCACACATTCTTCCAATGGACTCCAATCAGAAAATGGTGTGAATCTTGGGTGAAATTTGTGTGAAAAAAATGTGTAACCAGACCCCTACATTCATACAATGTGAAAACCATTGTTCATTTTTGCTACATAAACATTGGAGGTAGAGCAGACAGACTTGCGTACCTTGACACACGGAAGGATCTGCGTCATGATGACATTCTCCCGACTGTCGGCTGACACGTTCTCACAGAATTCTAAAACAGAAAACAGGGCGGCACACTGGAGTCAGATGGAGGTGCGACGTTTAAATGACAATACAAATCCTTGAAAAAAGGGAGAAGCAACAGAAACAAGAACATCCAAAGGCACAAGTCCTATAAAGTCTTTGTGAGAAAATGGTATAGGTTTATAATGTAACAGATGAGAAAAAAAAGTTCCAGCATGTTCGCTTTTACGCACGGCCTTATTCACACCTGTGAATGGAGCCGATCCCATGATTCCCCCCACATTCCTCTGAGAGACCATGCGGTCTGCTGCAGGCGAGAGGCACAACATAATACAATGACAGCCCCCACCGCCCGCAGACTATTTGCATACAGGGGCCGTCTACTCAATGTCCTCATCCCTCTTACCAAGGTTACCTCCACCCTGCTACAAACTCATCCCTCATACACAGTTCACCTCCACACTCACTATCTTTCTTACAGCAGCAGATTCTCTATAGTCTATGGGAACCTCAAGAAGTACAGTAAGCATCCTTTGCAGGCTGTGCCCTCTCATCTATACCCATCTGTCTGAATAATAGGAACATCAGGTCTCCTGCCATAGCCAAGGTTCCCATCCAAGACCATCATGTCTACTGCCCACATCCCCAGCCATAGCTCCCCTCTAAGACCAATGTTTCCTGTCATAGACAAGACACCCATCCAAGACCATAGCCAGGGCTGCCATCCAAGACCATAGCCAAGGCTGCCATCCAAGGCCATAGCCAAGGCTGCCATCCAAGGCCATAGCCAAAGCTGCCATCCAAGGCCATAGCCAAGGCTGCCATCCAAGGCCATAGCCAAGGCTGCCATCAAAGGCCATAGCCAAGGCTGCCATCAAAGGCCATAGCCAAGGCTGCCATCCAACACCATAGCCAAGGCTGCCATCCAACACCATAGCCAAGGCTGCCATCCAAGACTAATGTCTCTGGCCATAGACAAGTCACCCATCCAAGACCATCGACAAAGCTCCCCTCCAAGACCAATTTCTCATGCTATGGCAGGGGCTCTCGCCCAAGCGTAACATCTCCTGGCGAAGCAAGGGCTCCTTATCCAAGAACAAAGTCTTCTGCCATAGCCGAGACTCCCATCCAAGAGCAACATCACAGCACACCTCTGCAGCATTATGCAATGACCGGCCTGCCCTGGAACTAGCTCAGGAATCAGACAAAGCAGCCTCAGCTATGCAAGGCAAAGTTAACTCTGAAATGACTCCTTTAAGTAGTAGGGGACTCCGATTAGAACATCTAGTTCAAGCTTTCAGAAAAGCTTATTATGAATAATCTGTAGGTGGATCTCCTGTATGAGTCAGCAGAAAATTCTCATGGAGTTAATAGAGCATCTTGCTCGCCCCCAGCTTCACAATCTCTCTTTCATTGGGAACTGCTGGACTCCCACAGAACAGAGAAACACACCAAGAAAATACCTAATGACCCAATTAGGAGAGCATGTTCTAAATTATCATCTCGCACCACGTCAGTGCAGGAGGGAGCGATCAGTAGACTTAAAACACTATTTAACGATGTAATTATGAACTTTGTAAATGGAATTTAAAAAAAAAAAAAAAAAAAATCAAAGCCATACACTTAACAACCATCGCAAGACTTTAGTCTTGCGATGGTTGTAAAAAAAACGTACGATCTGCCCATCTAGGACAGGCAGATCGTACTCGCGATCATCGCAAGCCCGCCCCCCCTGACTTCCGATGACTGCAATGCTGAACGTGCAGTGTGCGCACACTGGCCCGTTCGGCATTTGTCTCCCGAGCACCGTTCAAACAAGCCGAAAAACGTAAGATTTTCGGCTTGTTTCCTAGCATGCTCCTTAGACAAAAGACGTGCGACCGTACAGTAGAAACGGCCGCACGTCTTCATTCACACTGCTCGATTCTGGTACGATCGCGGGATTTCCCGCGATTCTCGTACGAGAATCGTGCAGTGCATGGGCACATTTATGATGGATGGTGCACAGCATCAAGACAGCGGCCGAATGCATCAGACTATTCAATCGCAATCATTAAAGTTGATCTGATGCTCAGTACAACATAACCAGCAAAATCACAAACCTCAACCTGATCCAGTATTTTCTGAGCTACCCATCAATTTTTAATGCACCTCTGCAAAATGATCTGAAAATGATCAAAATAATGACAAAGTAATCAATAACTTCTAGATTTGATCAGAACATAGACAATCGTTTCATTGAATAACTGGATCGACGGATGTATCAGGCCTAGGGAGGAAAACAACAGTTATATGCACCTGGTCTTCGGAGCCGGATTGCTCTTAGACTGGTACCTGCAGCATCGCTACCTCTTTGCTGCAATCTAGGCCCCCAGTGAGATTCCTCCATCCACACAGTTTAGCGTAGATGGAGGAATCTGTTGCATTTTTTCCCATCTGACCACAGAAAGTCTGCAGATAATCTATAGGTGTATGGGCAGCTTTAGGTTTAGATACACTTCAACACTAACACACACAGAATTATAGTTGTGATAACATGTCCATCTAAAATCTTCTCAATGATGAGTCTTACCTTTCACTTTGTTGGACGCCGCGGCCCGCACCTCGGCTTCACAGTCCTTCATCAGATTCTGGAAAGCCGGAACCAAGTCTGTCTTTGTGATTTCTGGGCCGACTGCTTTCTGGAGCTACATGGCGGCACGGGGAAAATATCACAGGGGTTAAACCAGGCAATGGCTGTCAAAACACAAGAAATAGCTACTGTAGGCGAGGACAATGGGCTCACTAAGTGTCTGTGGACGGTGTCACTAATTGCTACACAGAGACCAGCATATATTATAGAAAGTAGGGATGCACCGATACCAGTTATTCAGTATCGAGTACCGATTTTCCTCGGGACTAGCCAATACAGATACCGGAAGTCCCTTTAAGGAAGCCAGGCGGCATGCAATGACTCGCCGCCCAGCTTGCCGATTAGCCAGGAAGCTGCTCCATCCCAAATGAGGAAGCATGGAGCTGGCTTTGTGGCCCATCAGGAAGCCGGGGGGCAGGTAATGACTCCCCACCCGCCTTCCTGATTGGTCAGCTTCCTGACCAATCAGGACGGCGAGTCATAACAAGAAAAGTCACTAGCACTCCAGCATAGATTGTAGTCCATATTTTTTGACTGCTATAGTATCACAACATTCAAAGCGACGTTTCAGAACCACAAGGACCCTACCTCAGGCAAAACAAAGAGTGATCACCAAAATAACATATGCAAGAATATATGCATGATCGTAAGAACCAATAAACCGATCAAAACATGCAGCACTCCCCCTCTAACGTCACAACGTCATATTCCCGCCAATTATCCATGTCATATACACAGGCTATGCATATCTGAACTCGTGATGGTATAAACAGTGAAACAATGTACCTGGTGCTGAATGCTGGCTCTGTCACCAAGTGTTCTAGATCAGCATCATATTCATAAAATGAATCACCTTTAGCACCCACCAGAATTTCCAGGGTTTGATCCGGTCAAGAGTGTGATGGGTCCTACTTTTCTTTTGAACTAGGCTGCGAGTCAGGACACACCACTCGGCTTCCTGATTGGCCAGCTACTGGAAGTTACGGTACCAGGAGAAGCAGCGGGAGTATTTAGTACTAATACTAGTATCGGTGCATCACTAATAGAATATAAAAGAAATGTGCAAGCACTATTTTGATCGCACCGCAGGCACAATGTGCCCTGCGATTCCGTGCGTGTGATGGCATTGCGTCCAGAGGGCGTGGCTACGGCGCCATTCACTTCAATGGCCCACCTCGCACCCCCATGCCCAGAAAAAAAGTGAGCCGGACGCAATGCGATACAGTGCGTTCCAGCCAGAATCAGGCCGTAACGTACTGCAACTGGTGTGAAAACTGGTGAGCATTCGGAGCGGTTCGGCCGCACGGATCCGCCGGCATGAACGATTGCTATGGGGACCGTCCATGCGACCGCGTGATCCGAACAGCCTCCAGCCCGAATGCTCTTTGAGCTTTTTCCTGTGCTGATCAGCGCGGTTTTCATACAGCTTTCAATGGAACCGCGCTGATAAGTTTTTAATTGCGTTCAGCTCTTAAAACACAATTCAAAAAGCCCAAAATCATCTTTTTAAAAATTGTGCGAAAACTACGCTGATACGAATGGGGCCTGATAGCAATCTTTCGTGGCCTGTACAGCCACAGTGCTGAGGGACTTCCCCTCTGCTATTAGAACACAGAGGGCTGCTCACTGAGCACAATGGCCATTCAGCAAGCACCCGATAGTTTCATCAATGAATACTAGCCAGTCTCCGATTGGACGAGGGGCGGTGATGTCAGAGAACGCTGGTAGTAGCCCCACCAGGGATAAATGATATATATTTATTTTATGCCGACATGGACCAATCAAAGTGGACATAAACCTTTATAGCTGCAGTCCATTGGACTTACCTCTGTGAATTTGTCTGCCACCATGTAACGAACACGCCAGGACTTATCTTCAGCTGCCTGTCTCAGTGTGGGCATCACGAGCGGCTCCAACTCCTCCTGAGGTAGAAGCTGAGCAATATTCACGCAGGCCTCCACGGCCAACAGACGAACAGAATCCTGAGAAACAGACAAATATGATAAACAAATTGAGCCAGCCATGCACACAGAATATTCATCTTCCTATCTTATATAGAGCTGTCAATGTATACATTGCTTTCTATACATTTCACTCACACGAGTCCATGACCTCAAGAAGCTTACAATCTAAGGCAGGGGTGGGCAACCCCAACCCTCCAGCTGTTGTGGAACTACAAGCCCATTGGGCATTGCAAGACTGGCAGTTACAGGCATGATGGCATTTGTAGTTAAACAACTGGAGGGCTGGAGTTGCCCACCCCGGATCTACGATGTCTGTTACATGCATACACACAAGCAAACATACTACAGCCAGTTTTGACAGGAGACATTAACCTTTCAACATGAGTTTGGAGTGCGAGAGGAAACCGGAGTACCCAGAAGATGCAAGCACAGGGAGAACATGCAAACTCCATGCAGATACGGTCCTGGCCGAGAAATAAACCGAGGACCCCAGTGCTTCAAGGCAGAAGTGCTAACCACTGAGCCATAACCCTAACTCTATGTCAACTGTAACAGCTTTACCTGCTCATCTGAGGCTAGGTTGGAGAACATTGGTATTATTTCACTTTTCACATTTTCCAGCTCCAATACTTTTGCGAATTCCCCCAATTTGGAAGCGGCTGCTCGTCTGACCATTGGAGTGTCATCTGAGCACAGGTTCCGGAAATGTCTAAATAGGAGTAAAGAGAGAGAAACATCACAGATAAAGTAAAGTCACCTATACATATATATTTTCCCAAGAGCGACCCCAGGGCCCTCCCTTACCACACTGTCTTGCCCTCCACCAAGGCCTTCCCTCTAAGGCTGGGTTCACACCTAGGCGTATCGAATATGCGTGTTTGTTGCAGCTCGTTTTTACAGCGATTCACGATACATGATCACGATACACGTTTCCGAGGGCTACCTGGCTGTATCCCAATGGATACGCACGGCAAATACGCCCCAAAGAAGCTCCTGTACTACTTTGGGCGTTTTGTTGCGCGTTCATACGGCATGTAATACGCCTAGGTGTGAACCATACCCATAGGAAATAATGGGATTTCGGTGTTTGACCGTTTTGCAGAACGTAGGAACGCGCTACAAAACGCCCAGGTGTGAACCGGGCCTCAGGGACCTTGCCTACAGACAGGCACTCCCTTTCCATGCAGCTTGCCTCTCCCGAGGTCCTTTCTCTCCATGTGGTCTTACCCACCGAAGTACTCCCTTACCACACAGTCCCCTCTCCCCCCCCTCAAGGCCTTCTCTCTGCATGCAACCTTTCCTCCAAAGGAGAATCCTACTGCAGTCCTTACTGGATGTCCCTTGTTGTGGGTGCTGAGGTGACTGCGGATGGCGCGGCTTCAGATTCAAGTAGTAAAATATATCACCAGCACACTGTGGTAAAATTTTCAGAAAGTGATAATTTTATCGATGCACACCTCGTCACATTGCAATGTTTCGGGGCAACTCGAGGTCCCTTCCTCGGGCAGGCACACGCATCTTGTCACATTGCAATGTTTCGGGGCCACTTGGGGTCCCTTAATGCGGCATGGAGAAGCCGAAACGTTGCAATGTGACAAGATGTGTGTGCATCAATAAAATTATCATTTCTGAAAGATATGACCACGGTGCACTGTTGATATTTTACTACTTGCCTCCAGACGGTCACTCCCTTTCCATGTGGCTTGCCTCCCCCGAGGTCCTTCCTCTTCATGTGGTCTTACCCACCGAAGTCCTCCCTTCCCACACAGCCTCTCCCCTGAGTCTACTTACTGTCTAAGTTCTGCTTTTACAGTGCTGGAGACCCGTGGATAACACACGCTGAAGAGCCCGCATGCAGATGTGCGGGAGGTGAACCAGTCGCCGCTGGCCAAACGCTTCACCAGGGGTACAAAGTGCGCCTCGAGGTCGGAGGGGGAGTGTTCATGGGAAATGGCTCGGAGAGATTCCACAGCTCTGTCCCTCACCACTGTCTCCTCAACGGTGGCCAAGCTTTCTAGCGGTGGCTGAAAGACACATTTTATGATAAGAAACAAGTCAGTATTTATCTCTGTGGACAACCAGGAGTAAGCTTTTAAAGGATAAAAATACAAAATCTATTGCAGTTTTTTTTTTTCTGACATCCAGAGTCTCACTTTCACTAGTAAATCACTGACCTGGAAAAAGCATGAAGGATGGAAGATCAGACTTGACAGACCTGACTGCCTCCTTGCTTGCATCAGGTCAATGACTGACTAGGTGATGAAGGAATAATGAGAATGAGAAGCCAGAGCTCTGCACCTTTAAAATCCAATTGGCAAAGGCAGATTCCATATTTTGATTCTCACGTGTTCATGTTAAAGCACTAACTGCTGAAATAATATCTACAGACAAGGATGAGAATGAGAAATGAGGGCAGAAGATTTGGTGACACTTACCAGTAAGCAGTGGACAAACTCTGGTCCCCCCACCAGTGACGTAAACGTCCCCAATTGTTCAGCCAAAGCCAGCAGCACTTCATCTTCATCATAGATCGTATCTGCAAGACATGATATTGCCTTCTAAACATTCCCTATACACTGTTCTCACAAAGACCAAACAAAGGACAAAGAAAAAGTCTCCGGTAACAGCTGATGTCTTCCTGCAGCTGATTATTTCCCCACCACTGACTTATCATGGCTTTTTCTGCACTGCACCTGTGTGGAGGCGGCCATCTGGGTGGAAGCAGGGCTTAGCTCCCATATGTCAGCACTGCCCCATACTAATGGCTGGTAGAGAAGATTCAGATCATTACACTGCAGGTCCTCAGGTACAGCTTCCTCTCCAGCGCGGAGAACAGTGAGCAGTATAGTAGTGACATCACCAAATCTCACTCCGAATCTGGTTAGATCAGCAGCTAATCTATGTAGTAGTATCCATCTATCCACAGAATGAATGAAGCAGGGAGATCATTACACTGCAGGTCCTCAGGTACAGCTTCCTCTCCAGCAAGAACTGTGAGCAACCAAGGAGTGACGTCACCAAGTCTGACTCCAAATCTGGCGAGACCAGCAGCTAATCTAGGTAGTGTCTGTCTGTCGGTCTATCCACAGAAGGAAGGAAGCAAGCAGAAGCAGGGAGATCATTACACTGCAGGTCCTCAGGTACAGCTTCCTCTCCAGCAAGGAGAACTGTGAGCAACCAAGGAGTAACGTAACCAAGTCCGACTCCAAATCTGGCGAGACCAGCAGCTAATCTATGTAGTATCTGTCTGTCGATCTATCCACAGAAGGAAGGAAGCAGAGAGGTAATTACACTGCAGGTCCTCAGGTACAACTTCCTCTCCAGCAAGGAGAACAGTGAGCAACACAGTAGTGACATCAAGTCTTAACCGGAATCTGGTTAGACCGACCAGCAGCTAATCTATCCATGCAGTATCTTACTATCCATCTATCCACAGAATGAATAAAGCAGGGAGATCCATACACTGCAGGTCCTCAGGTACAGCTTCCTCTCCATTATCCATCCATATATCTCAGCAACAATGTTAATATGCCTTTATGTTAACATTTAAGAAACTGCCCACATGTGGATTGTCCATTTTCATTTTGAAATCCATTGTTCTGCAAGTGATTAGTCTTTGACCACATCCTCCTATGCAACCATCCCGCTTCAGAAACTTGAAGGTTCCTTGTAACCGTAAAGGAGTCAATTACGTCTATTAACAGTCCCACCTGCATCCCTGCTATGCTTGGTTATTTTGAGGAAGATCTCCATTAAAACTTTATAAACACTTGCAGTGCGGCTAGCCCGGCATTGCAAGGGTTAAGTTATACTCACCTGAAGCTCTGATCCAGCCGTCTAAGCGCTCCCTGCAGCCCCATCTCCTCCTCGGGCCCCTTCTATTCTCTATCTACACTTCTTCCCTGGGTCAATTCATAGCCTCCCATGGCTTCCAATACCATCTTTATGCTGATGCCACCCAAATCTATCTCTCCACTCCTCAACCCACCCCCTCTGTCTCTTCACGTATCTCTAATCTACTCAGTGACATCTCAGCATGGATGTCACACCAATACCTCAAACTCAATCTGTCAAAAACTGAGCTTATATTTTTTTTCCTCCTCCCCTTGTTCCCTCCCCCAACTTCCCCATCACAATCAACAACACTACGATCCCATCAAGCCAGGGTACTCTGTGTAATCACGGACTCTGCGCACCCCTTTCAGCCCCACATCCAATCACTATCCAAATCTTGCCGACTCAACCTCCGTAACATTTCCAAAATGCGCCCCTTTTTAACAAAAGAAACCACAAAGCTTCTGATTCGCTCCCTCGTAATCCCTTGCCTCAACTACTGTAACTCCCTCCTTGTTGGCTTACCACTAAGCAGACTATCCCCCCTTCAGTCTATCATGAATGCTGCCGCCAGACTCATCCACCTAACCAACCGTTCAGTGTCTGCCACCCCCCCTTGCCAATCCCTCCACTGGCTCCCATTTGCCCAAAAGGATAAAATTCAAAATACTAAACATACAAAGCCATCTACAACTCCGACCAACCTCATCTCAAAATATCACCCAAACCGTCCTCTCAAGACCTCCTGCTCTCCAATTACCTCCTCCCATGCTCGCCTCCAGGACTTCTCCAGAGTGTCCCCCATCCTCTGGAACTCCTTACCCCATTCTGTCCACCTATCTCCTACGCTGCCTGCCTTTAGGCGATCCTTAAAAACCCATCTCTTCAGGGAAGCCTATCTTATCTCAACATAATTGCCTTTTACTTCCTCCAATAACTCAATCCAAACAATTATTACCTTTTGTATCACTTGCCTCTCCTTAGATTGTAAGCTAACACGAGCAGGGCCCTCCTAACCGTATTGTACTGAAACTGTAAATTCTATTGTAACTGTACTGTCTCCTCCTTTTTGTAAAGCGCTGAGCTTGGACTGCTGCAGAGGAGGGGGAGAGACGTTGGAAGGACAGGTCTAAGAAGGTGGCTCAGAGCATTAGGCGAGTATAACTTTTTTAAACCTAGACACAAACAATCACTTAAAATGACAATAAAGGCTAATTAGCCGAGCACTGTCACATGATCGGAGGAGTGACAACACTGCCCCATCCCCTCCCCCCCGGGGTCGTAAACACTGAAGGAGCACAGGTAAGGTAAGTATATGAGGGTCAGGTATTGCCCTTTCTAGAGTCATTGCCTTTCCCTGCAAGGACAATGTGACAGGGCCTCTTTAATAACAAGCGTAAAACAGAAAATCAACATTTTAGAATAGAACCAAAAGAAAGTCTATTCTCATTTCCTACAAGACCCCCTTACCGGTCAGGAACGGCAGAAGCTCACTGCGGGTCCTTTCTACGCCCAAAGCCAAGGCAATGGTGGAGAGCTTCTTAATACTGTTCAGACGGAGCTGCAAACAAACCAGAAAAATACGTTCAGAACCTCCAATGTGACTGACTGGGACACTTCAAGAGCCGGCACTCAACAGGTGGACTGAGCCTTTAAGTTCGACACATTGAATAGATGATCAGATACTGGGGTTTGCCTAGATCTGGCAAGCAATATGATTTAATGTCAGGGGTGGGCAACCTCGGGCCTCCAGCTTTTGTGGAACTACAACTCCCATGAGGCATTGCAAGACTGACAGCCACAGGCATGACGCCAAGAGGCATATTGGGATTTGTAGTTTCAGCTCAGCCGGAGTGCCAAGGTTGCCTACTCCTGGCCTAGATACTCGTGAGGCCCCTTTCTTTTTCTTGAAGGGTAATGATCCCTCGTCTCCTTTAACCTGTAGGTGAAGGTTCACTACACTCAGGTCTGCAAAGTGAGGGCCCCTCATATTGAGAACAAGGACCCCCCTCTTTTCTTAGGCCTGAAGGTTAAAGGAGAACTATGGGGTCAGTGTTTTTCCCCATAGTTCTCCTTGGGGTAACGGGAGGACACAAACTAGCGTCCTCCCGTTACCCTAAGCTCAGTATATAGGGAGCTACAGCTCTCGGTATACTGAGATGCCGCAGCCCGAGCGGATCCCGACGTAGATGACGGGATCCGCCCAGCTGTGTGAGTGACAGCTGGCTCTGCCTATCTAGAGGCAGATCCAGCTGTACCCGCCCCCTCCCCCGTCCGTTCTGCCAGTCAGCGCTGGCAGATCGGAGCGGGGGATCCAGCCCCTCCCCCTGTCACAGCAGAGAGCAGTGACAGGATCGAGAGGTGAGCGAACACCTGTATCTGTTCGCTCACCTCCCGATCTACTGAGCCGACCTGTGACAGTCTCATTGTCACAGGTCGGCTAGAACTATGAGGTGAGTGAAAAGCACTCACCTCATAGTTCTCCTTTAAGGGCTCCATACTGTATGTTGTCAGAGACCCCCCTTTCTCCTAAAACGTAAAAGTGAGGGGTCCCTCACACTGTTTACCCGTCAGGGGCCCCTCCTCCTCAGGCCTGCAGATTGAGACCCTCATATAGAGAACGACCAGGGGCCCCCTCTTTTGTTCAGGTTTGAAGGTTAATGGCTCCA